TGAGTGTCCATTGACATATTCAGCATCCGTTTTTGTTCACTGCAGTCACATTCACACAAAAATGTACCCTATTTTCTTTCTTTATAAATGTTCCTAGTCATATTGTGCATGTTTTTGTAAAGTCAAATGTAATATTACTTACTCCTCTTTTAAACGTCACCTAGGCCATTGGTTCATGATAATTAGCCAAAACTAGATAAGAGTTTTTTGGCTACTGTTGTAGGTAACATAACGTATGTGTGACCTTAGCACTCACAGTCCAATCAATTTCTATTGGATAAAGTCCTATTTTCATCCCCTCTTTAAATATCCTGTTTTACCTTCACATCCTATTAGCCTACAAAAGTAAATGGGTTACAAATGCTATTTCATGATGATTTTAATACATATCGATGTACATTCATTTTCATTTGTAGTCTCCGAAATGACACAATTTGCAAATGTGTCTCACAATGTCAAAATCTTCCACTCAGCTCCATCACCCTCTAGGACAGCAAAAGATCGGTCATAATTCATGTTGAACGTCCTCTATTTCCTGTAACTGCAAGGTTATACAGTAGCTAGTGGATATCATTATGTGCTGCATTCAAGTCCTCAAGGGAAGTTCGTATAATTTATGAGTTTGCAAGTTGTAATTACGACATCATGTGTTCACATCACAAAATGGCGATTCCACAAAAAAATACAGCAGGTTTTTAATATCGTTTGCTTCAGACGTGTGGAAACCTAGTTAGATTTAGGACTTTACGGTTTGTTTACATTGATGCCAAAATGGATGATTGAGGTTGCAACTTTTTTTTTGTTTTTGCTTAGAAGTTGTTTGCAAAGGCCGCAAGAATGAATTCACAACTGCTTGTATACTACTTTTACAATGTCTTACTATGGCAGGTCTGCAAGTATGTCATTGACTACGTTTACATGCAGCTCAATTTTCGCGTTATGGTCGGGTTAAGGTCACTATTCGCGTTTCTGAAACATTAGGAATAACCCGTTTACATGCGTGAGCAGAGAGAGTTTCTCCAGTATACATGGAATTGCAATATATCCCGATGTAGCGACGCGCGGTTCCCAGATAGCAAACTGACATTGAATCAACGTGGAAATATGACATCGAAACAACGTTGATCTGACATTGTTTTGCTCATCGAATTAACGTTGAACCAACGTCAGATGCGTCATTCTTTCAAAACTAACGGAAAATTAACTTGAAATCAACGCGTTGTTTCAACGTTATGAAAGCAAACCAATTTTCGATTTTCATTTAGCTTTGAAGAATGCCGCGTCAGACATTGGTTCAACGTTAATTCAATGAGCAAAATCAACGTTGTTTCAATGTCATGAGAGACGTCGTTTCCACGTTGATTCAATGTCAGTTTGCTGTCTGGGTTAGCGTCTAGACGTACGGACAACCTTAAGACGAAATATGCGTCATTTACGATTCTTCTTCCTGTATCCAAACACAACAACAACAGCAGCACGCGGATAATGGATAGTTCGGGCAGCGATCGCCTTTGTTTGCGCTTTGATGCCGGTAACGTTACTGAGCTCGCTCCAAAAGTACTGTGCTGTGTCTCGCCTGGTCTCGCCATGTTTACTTCCGGTATACTGCACACGGATTTTGCGCCGAGAAGTTTCTCTACTCAAAATACCAAGATTCCTTGCGAATAGAACATGAGCAGAACACAAATCACTATGGGGTTATGCCGATACGCGTTTACATGACCAAAATTCGGGTTAGAAAAGGGGTACCCCAGGTATAATATCCTGGTTTTTAAAATCCGGGATATGAGCATATTCGGGTTTTTGCCGGTGTTTACATGGCCGTTCGCAACCGGACTATTGCTAATATCCTGGTTTTGAACGGGTTATTGGCTGCATATAAACGTAGTCAGTGTCTGCAATGTACACTATTAGAAGGAAAGGTTCTATATAGAACCTTAAAAGGTTCTAAAGCGCTTTACGTATTTGGAACCCCTAAAATGCAATGCACGTGAATGATCACAAAATTCAAGATATGTGGGTTAAAAAATGTAATTAATCAATATCAGACGAAGAGTGCCTTTTCAGTTTTTATCCTTCAAAATCAGCATGATTAAAATGTGATATTAAGTTACTACAGTTTAACAAACAATAATTTAATTACATACTACAAAATGTTGCAGAATAATGTAATATATGAACAAATAATAGCCTTTAAAGAACCTGTGTGCCAAAAAGGTTCTTTCTTCTCATTCTAGAACCTTTTTTAGCATTAAATATCGTTTGGAGTTGAGTAAAGAACCCTATGCTACATATATAGAACCCTTTTTTTCTAAGAGTGTATGAAGCACAGAAGTCTCTTCCTAACCAAGCTGTCTGTTGGTCAACTTGGCGAATCCGGGTGACATACTTGAACCCTTTTCTGAAATATGTGCCCTTCCGAAATACTTTATAACTCGCAATTGCGACATATCACGCAATTCTGACTTTTTATCTTGCAATTCTGAGAAATAAAGTCAGAATTGCGAGATAAAAAGTCACAATTATTTATTTTACTTTTTATTCAGTGGCGGAAACGAGCTTCCATACAAATCTGCCGCCTTTTCAAACAGTAACATATTTTCCGCTGTCGCAAACCATGCGTCGGTGGAACCAGACGATAGGCTTAAATGTGTCCCGGCTTGACTGTTAAAAGCAGACGATTAGCTTTCCAGCGGGAGGGGTGGGGCATGCATACAACCACCATCTTTGGTCTCACGGGTTTTTCCTATATAGTTGTATTAAGGAATGAAGTGGCAAGTTATAGTCAGAATTGCGAGATATAAAGTAAGAATTGCTAGATATAAAGTAAGAATTGCTAGATATAAAGTTGCAATTGCGTAATTAAATGCATAATATAAAATCAGAATTGTGAGATTCTGAGATTAGAGATTATGTCTCTATATAAATAGTCTCTGACGGTACCCACCTCCAGGAACGCTATCGGACAGGGGGGGACCTGCTTCCGCTACCTCGCACTGGGCCCCGCCCCATGCTTTAGACTGCCCTGATCAAAATTCGACTCCCTACCAAATTATTGTTTGAAACTGCTACCTGATTGCATAATCCTAACCCCACCCCCACACCTAATCCTAAACCTAACCATGGGGACGAGGGGTGATAATCTGGTGGGGGTAAGAATTCGGCACAACGCTGGTCTTAATGTAGGACTATTATTGGCATAGCCATATGTTTGCTAAAGGTCTGTCTGTGTGTTGTAAAAATGATATGTAGGCTACATTACCGAAGCAGAGAGTGTGAAAAAATAAAGAAAAGCAGGATCTTTAGTAAAGATCTGTAGTTCATGACACGCTCACAGGCAGATGACTGAGGAAAGGCTGTGTGGTGTTTGATGGCGCGAGACGCTACTCTAATTCAAGCTGCCACAACAGGTGAAGCCTTCAGTTAATTACTGGAGAGATGGGAGGCCGGGCCACACTGATGCGCTCGCTCGCTATGCCAGCTTAGTTCAGTTAAAGAATAGACCCCATCTATCACAGCAATCGATACTCACTGACAAAGGTTGTCTCTCTTTCCTTTCATTGGGCTTACGTAGGCCTACATATGCACACATCTCACTGTAACAATGCTAGTATATTGCTTTAAATTTTGTTTTACAAACATTGTTACCATATTACAGTGAATTTTATGCAGCCATAGCAAAAATAGTGTACCATGGTAAAGATGAAATGGTATAATAATAACTCCCATTGTGTTCCAGGGGTCATAGGTCCAGGTCATGCAGGTTTCAGAACAGCACGGAAGAAGAACAATTATGTCAGAATTTTCATAGTTATTAAAATAAACAATCTGCTCATTAATTTACAATGTTATTATAGAGCCACTATGACTCACCGAATAAAGAGAGTGTTTATTTGTATTTCGGTTAACTGTTCTAGGCAGTCATCACTAGATGCTACACGTTGCTCATTAGTCATTAGCAGATCATTTTTGCGGCGTGATTGACAGCTGGAGGCGGGAGCGCGGAATAATCGGAACTTCAATGCCCACAATCCCTGTAGACTGGGCTGCACACCGGCCGCAACCAATCAGTGGCCGCGAACGCAGCAATTGGTCCGTTGTAATCTCTGATGTCAAGCGCCAACGTGGGACCCCGAAGGTTTGATTGGTTAGATTGTCGAATCGCTACAGCCAATCAGTGAACCACTAGAGAGTGCTCCACAGCCTCGAAGTTTTAAGGTGGTCTGCAGAAAGGTGAGGGATGTGATTTATCTCGTGTAATTTACTCTTTTAAAATCGAAATCACTTGATTTATATCTACAACACGAATAAATAAGTAGCCTAGAATAAATAAAATACAACGAGACTTTTGCTGTGATATTGCTGTGCGTATTTCCGTCATTTTTCCCGCTCATATTTAGGTAAACATAAGACCGAAGTTTGGTCAAGAAAGCTGCCAGTCTTTCAGCTGGACAGTCGACAATTTATGTTTTTAGCAGCCTCTTTATCTTTACAAGCTTAAGTTTCTACAAATACGACTTATAAAATATGTTGCAATATTATTACACATGATATATTTGGAAATTACATGCATGGAACATTGTATCTCATTGTTTGAGAACGAATTGCCTTTGGTGCTGATTCGGATCAAATGTGAATCAGATGCTGAACTCGATTAATTGTGGGAAATTGTGTTCATACAGGTACATTTCTGAATGACAAGCCCATTTATACCATGTTTTTTGATGGTATATAGAGAGATAGATAGGACAAAATATGTCAAAATGTCAGAATAAGTTGTAAACGCAACAATTCTTATACATCATCCAGTTCTTCTTTCCCTAATTATTATTATTTTAAGGATGCAGAAGCCCAACCAGACCAGTGCAGATTACTGTCAAGATGGTCATTTCCATGAAGTCTGTCTGTTCTCAGCCAGCTTCACAAGTTCAGTAATAGGTTGAAGAGAGAGAGTCGTGTGAATAATTACCCTTCTAATCCGCACAATTAGATAAAGGCGATTAGGGCAATACCTAACCTGAGAGGTGTCGCAGACAGAGGGATGACTAACAAGAGACACCTCAGAGATCATGCATGGCGGAGGAGAACAAGAGAATGATGAAGAGATGAGAACGTGGTAGAGATGACCGAAATTTGCTGATGTGTCACACTAACAAACGAAGAGAACATATTCTGGATAAATCAAGGACGTGAGTATTGCAATTACAACTAAATTTGTTTATTTCTCAAAGGGCAGATAAATGCTCCTCTGTCAGAGGCGTACGTGCAAATATGAGGTTGGACACGGTGCCTCAGGGAATTGCTGACAAATTGAATCTTTCCCAATCTCTTTCTTTCACATCCCTTGTTTTCTGATTTGTTTCTCCCCTTGAGGCAAAACTCATTGCGTATTTTGCTCTTTTAATTCTCAGGAGACTTATTTGAGACCTCACTGAAGTATAAATTTTCTCTCTGATATTTCTTCAAAGAATAAATTTAAGACAAAATGTGTATAAGGAATATACATTTGATGATGATGATGATATTTGAGTGCATATCGAAATCTCTTTTTATTGCAGACTTGGCAAATCTGAGCACAGTTTGAGACATTGAGATCTGCTTTAGAAAAGACATGAATGATTATTACGGTAAGTGCTGTTTTTTTTCTTTTCAGTTTAAAAATATAAGCAGGTACTCATTAAACAGGTCTCAATGTGCTCTCCATTTAATCTAGGAAACACAACTGAGATATCTAATTTGTGTTTTTTTTCCCCTATAGGTCTATCTGTATGATGATATGAATCTTTTGGCCGTTCAAAGAAACGATCATGTATATTTGTTTGTGTGCATGTACTGGTATCTATTTCTGTTTCTATCTCTCCGTCAAGCTATCCTTTATCTATCTCGCCTGGTCCACCTTAAGTGCAGCTTGAGCAGGCTGTCGTGTTTGTGTTGAAGCCAACAGGCACAATATATTACAGTCTAGGGCTCGCTGCTGAAAAGCCTGCTGGATCTTCCAGTGACCTGCTGTTCTTTCCTGCTTTCCTGTGTGTTGTTTTTTCTTCCTCTCTAGATTTAGATTAAAAACAAAGCCCGTTCCTCTTTCTCCTTTGCCTTTTTAGACCTCAGCAAAGAAGCCCCTGTAGTTTAGAGATACTGTTACAAGGTTGGAACACTCGAATGGAGATACGTGTTTGTTTTTGTTGCTTATTGGGGACATTTGCAGAAGGACAAGACAGCTGGACTTGATTCTTCTGAATTCCCTGCTTCTCCCTGTCTGTGGGGACTGAGAGCCGGACAGTAACGGAGTGGGACGTCAGGGAATTCTGGGGGGGGGGAAATCCAGTCTAAGTGTGAGTAAGGGGATCTGTTTTAGGAGGACCCTTCGTCAGATGTGCTGACAGCCTTCAGCGGCTCAGAAAGGACCGAGCCGGGTTCCCAAGCTCGATCCGGGGATCTTTCCCCTGGTGGAGTGGGAACACAGGAGTTCGGAGGGTCAGCGCGTTGGCCGTCAAACCGGCATCCCTCCGGTGACCATGTACCCGCAGGGCAGACACCCGGTAAGTGCTACGCTCTCTCGTTCTCCCACATCCTGAACAAATGGGACAGATGAAGCAATTGGATGTAAGAGAGACGTCTCTTTAGGCTTTCAGTCCGCACATACGCATATTCAGCTTCACTCAGGTGTCCTCAAGAGCCAGTTGATAGAAAGTTGTGTGGGAGGAATCAAACACAATGTGTGTCTTTATTAGTTTGTGAAATAAACCTTTCTCAACACCCCCGCTAATAGATGTCAGTGCAATTTGGCAAATCTAGAGTAGTTTAGGTGTGTATATATGGGTGGGGTTGGATAGGGATCACTGTGGGAAGTTTATTTGTTATCTGTCTTTGGTATATTGATGTTTCTAGAATCTAAAGAATCTACCCTACATTGCAGCCTGTTTTAAGTGTGGTTCAGCGTACAAGCCTAAACTTGTAATACATGAAAGAACAAGGCATCAGTTGTGTTTATGAATGAATGAAAGGTCCCTTGACTGATTTAGTGTGTATGTTGTACATTTCCATCCGTAGACTTACTTGCATCGTAAGGGTGAAGCTCACAAAACTATCAAGGAATATCCAGAATAATCTAATTTAGATTAAAAACAAAGTCCATTTTACTTCTCCCTCACCTTATTTAGACCTCAGCAAAGAAGACTTTGAGTAATGAATGAAAGGTCCCTTGAAACTGATTTGGTGCCTGTTGTTATATTTGCCCCATAGACCTCCGTTGTAAGGGTGAATCTCACAAAAACTATCAAGAAATGTCCAGAAAGGTTCATATTTCACCTTAAAATCTTAAGTAAAAAATATTTTAGGATTTTAGGATGCATATTTTGTTGTCTTTAAATGCATTATTTTGCCTGAGAAAAAAACTTTTTTTTTTCAATTTAATTTTGCCTTAATATGACTGGAACATTTCTTTGAGAGATTCAGCTGTAAGTAGATAACTGTCAGTGGATTTTTAAAAACGTATATTATTATGATGATTAGATTATTATTTCAACCCATTACATTCCTTTAACAAACATGCCCTGAGGTTCCTAGCCAGAGTGGTTGAATGTGTGTTATAATGATACAGAGAACAAACTCCAAAGGACCAGTGAAATCTTCAGCAATGTTTTATTTGTACCCTTATGGCCTGTGAAACATGACCTACACCAGTTAAAAGGTGTGGGAAAGGTCTGTGTGTGTAACCATGCATAAACATCGCCTACAAGTGCTTACACCTTTTCTTGGTCTCTAACGTTTAAGAAATCAAGTCCATGTGTGTGAGTATTCTAGTTAAGCCAAGCATCACTGTTACTTTTGCTCATACTTACTCTTAAAAATGGGGGTTCTTTACCACCATCTGTGGTTCAGTGAACATCCATAGAAACGTTTAATTGGACAAAAGGTTATTTATAGTGGAAAAGGTCTTTAGAGTATTATAGTGTAAAATATGGTCCTTTTAAGAACTGTTCACTGAAATATTCTTTGGGGAACCCAAAATGGTTCTTCTATGGCTAAAACTCCCATTTTGAACCTTTGTTTGTAAGAGTATACTGATTTCTACCAACCAACCAAAACACCTTAGAAAAACCAGTTAGAACTGCTTAGCATTCACACAGCACACCTCAAAGTTGTACTAGTCAGAGGTAGATCCATCAGTGGTTTTGTTTAACTGTTCAACACCATGCAGTGCAAATCAGATGGAGACAATCAGTGTGAAATGAGTGTGTTTGCATGCGTCGGAGTCTGCACATACCTGCCTGTTGAAAGGGTTAAGCCTGATTTGCAAGGCAAACTGCATCGGGTGGACTGGTAATTGGTTCCACTGGATTTTTGTGGTTAGTGTTATCTGAAGCAGGGCGATTGGAAGGTGGAATGAGGAGGTTTACAGTCCTCCGTGCTTCTGAGCCAAAAACAATAACAATAGAAAAAACTGCGCAGGGAAAGCTCATAATCCGCTGCAGCCACACCTTCAGTTTCCGACTGTTACAGAACGCACCTAGCTTGTTTTTAGGCCTGGATATTAAGAATCTAGGCAATGCTGGTATTCAGTCCATTTTAAGGGTGAGAAGTCCATAGATGTCATGTGTGAGGTGTAAGAAACATGAACTGTCTGCACAGGAGGTCTGTGGATATGTTTGACACAAGAAGAACCCGATACAAATAAGAGGCTGTAATATGAGTGTGTTTGCGCATGTAGCACATGAGGCGAGTTTGCGCTCTTGCTAACACTACCTGTGTCTGCAGTGTGTGGATTTATGGCTCTTTCTTGGCAGGTGCTTTTGTTTTGTATCAGGATGAGAACATTTTATGGTTACTGAACTCATGATCTAATGGTGAAGATGGCATAAAGAGAAAATTCAGCAGTCCTTGGTTCATCAACGTTTCGTCATTTAGTTCCAAATATGATAAAAGTGGTTCAGTGAGCGAGACAGAATAAGCCAGTAACTGCTCAATCAGAAATGTGATTCTCTTAAAAGAACCGGTTAATAAGATTCATTCATTTGGTAATCAGACTGCACTAATTGTGCTGTGTATTTTTGATTCATTAAAAAGAGCCGCCTCATAAGATTCATTGTTCAAGAATCAGATTATATAAAAGGTCATGCTTGTGATTCACCCAAATAAAATCTTGGCTAGCATTTGTTTGGGAATCAGACTACATTGCTCGCTTTGTATTCTAACACAAACCGGCTTATAAGAGTCATTTGTTTGCAAATTGTTCTAATCTGGTTGAAGTGAATATTTTTGATTCACTGAAAAACAGTGAGTAATTAGTTCAGTATTCAATTTGAGAATTATATTACATTAGTGTTTTTGATTCACTAAAAAGTACACCGTTTGAAAAAAAAGAAAGATTTTTCGTAATCAAACTAAACGTTAAGTTAGTTCTGATAATAAATTTGGGACCTGAAAAATGTTTTGTTAGGCTGTGTGTCCACCAAAGCGTTTTTATCCAGCTGAAAATGCTAGACGCTGTGCTTTGGGCGCTTGAGAGCGTTCTGGCAGAATTCTTACGAATTTTACGAGGTGGCTAATTCGTAACAATTCGTAAGACCTCGTACGAATAGTACGTTTTTTGCTAAATCATTCATATTTTACGAATTGGCCAATTCGTATGAATTCGTACGAATGACCTACCCCTGACCCTGCCCCTAAACATAACCATTACGTGGGTTAAGACAAGTCGTACGAATTCGTACGAGTGAGGTTGAATGAATTAGTACAAATTATCCACTTTTTAATCACTAATACGAATTCGTACGAATTGGTCGTGAGTTAGCGTAGGCGCAGCGTTTGATACAGAATATCCGCAGCAGTGTTTACTTGTAACTAATTTCGCAGATAATGTGTTTCATACTAAAAATGTATTTTTCATCCATTTTGTTCGGTTAGCTCTGCTGGTTGGTGTCGTTGTACAGAAAGAATATTGTGACAGTTGGTCAGTGTGGATTAGTCCCGCCCCTCCTCCACTGTGATTGGATGGCTGGGTAAGAAGTGACAGTGATGAGCGCTGTGTTTTATCCAAAGTTGAACATTTTTCAACTCTCTCTCGGCAACCAGTAAAAAACTCTGGGCGGTCGGCGCTTCAGCGTGAAAAAAACGCTCAGCTCCCATTGAAAACAGGCGCGTGGAAAAATGCTTTGGTGGACACATGGCCTTACTTCATGACTTTATATCTGCTATGATAGTCAATACATTCTCTGATTTTCTGTAACGTTTTTTTCAAAGTGTGAATTTGCACCATATTCATACATGTTTTTAGTGTGTTATTGCATGTGTGTGTGTGTGTGCGTCTGTATGTCTGAGAGTGAATGCCATCATCTTTCTGTTGCACTGATGTGATGGCCAAGTGAAAAACGTGGCCAAATTCCATGGCCACAAAATTCACATATGCTCATTTAATGATAGTTTGAGCTGGTTTGCTCATTTTTAGTCACTGCCGTATTGTTTTAATAAATGTTTTTATTCTGGCCACATTTGGATGTTAAACTTGGTTTCATATCTTCACACTCTTTTATTGTCTCTCTTTTGTGTTTGTCAGAAAACTTCTTTCTTTCTTTCTTTCTTTCTTTCTTTCTTTCTTTCTTTCTTTCTTTCTTTCTTTCTTTCTTTCTTTCTTTCTTTCTTTCTTTCTTTTCAGCTCAATCCATTGCTGATTTACTAAGTATAAAAGGTGTTTTCTCTGCCTGCCAATCCACGGTTCCTAATCCAGTATTGGACAGCGATGGCTTTTACTCTGCCTCACAAAGCGAGCCACTCCAGAGCCGCATTGTCAGTGAATCGCCAAGATACAGTCCTGAGCAGCCACCCGATGTCCAGCATTCAATGGGGTTTAAGATCAGGGAAAAGCTTCAGATATGATGAGCAAAAGTCGAAGGACTTTCTCTCAGGTCGTTTAATGAGCCGGTTTGAGGTGTACCTGATGAACTCTAGCACCTCGAAATGATTGTATCCTGGGAATTGTAGTCGGTTTGTGGAGACAAGGTCTTGCAGGACTGGGCAGGAAAGAAAGACGAGTTTTTAGAGTGCGAGATCACACACACACACGCACTCACACATTCACCCAAATCCCCCCGAGATCACACTGACACTTCTCTTCCTCCCACTCTCTGGTGATCCTCATCTATTCGTGCGCCTTTTCGCACTAAATATTTCACCAGCGGATGATTATTTCATGGATGTCTCCATCCCAGCCTGTCTGCAAAGATGCAAGCTGAAAACTGCTCTGTTTTCGTCTCGGTCGTTCCTCTTTCGGCGTCGCTCCTCCTTCAAGCCGATTTGAGTATCCAAAATAGCAACTCGAGCAGTGAAATATGAGATGATCAGTGTGGGTGATTGGGAGAGATTTCATTTCCCACCATTGTTATGGGATCTGCTCATCTCTCTCTCCCCCTTTGACCTCCCTCAGAAGATAATCTCCACTAATTCTAGGCTAGCCTGCTGCAGCTCGTCTGAATTGTGATTGACTAGCTGCTGTCCCACATGGCTTGCTGTCTGCCTCGTCCCCCTCCGTCCAGATTAACTGGATCAGTTTTGGATTTCAGGATTCCCCCTCCTTCTGTCTGACACACACTGTTGTGTCTAAACAGACACTCTTTTTTTATATGCAAGTTTTGCATGTATGTTTGTACTGCATGTTGTGAATCCCTCCAATTTAATAGTCCGAACTAATCTATTTTTATTATTACTAAAAGCAAGGAAAGGTGCTTTTTTTTGTTTTATTTGTTGTTATTTGCAGTGCTAATTACTATTGCTCACAAAATACTCAGCATTATCTTTGTTTTGATGTAAATCACTGACCTGATAGGACAGGTTTTTTCTTGGGTCGGTAAGTTACCACCTAACAACCACCCAGAACACCTTAACAACTGTATAGCAACATCCTGGCAGCCATTTATCTTCATTCTGGAAAATGCATTAGCAATGCTCTAGCAACCAGCCACAACATCTGAGCAACTGAATAGCAACACCCTGGTGATCACCCATAGCATCCTAGTAACCACGTCAACTGTACAGCAAATGTGCAGCAACGCCCCAGCAACCACATACCACCACCCTGGCATCTGCATTACAGTGCACTGGCAACCACCCACAATGGCATAGCAACACCATGGCAATCATTCACGACATCTGAGCAACCACATAGCAACACCCTAGCAACTGCAGTAAATGTCCAGGCTACCACTCACAAAATGATAACTGCATAATAATTCTCTGGCAACTGCAAAACGCCACACTGGCAGTTGCATAGCAACACTCTAGCAACCACCCACAACATTTGAGCAAAACCCTAGAAACTGCCGTCAATGCCTAGGCTACCACTCACAACATGGCAACTGCATAGGAAGTTCCTAGCAACCGTATAACGATTCCCTGGCAACTGCAAAACACCACAATGGCAGTTACATAGCAACACTCTAGCAACCACCTACAACATTTGAGCAAAACCCTAGCAACTGCTGTCAATGACCACTTACAAAAAGGCAACTGCATAGGAAGTTCCTAGCAACTGTATAATGATACCCTGGCAACTGCATAGAATCACACTGACAGCTACATAGCAACACTCTAGCAACCACCCACACCATTCGAGCTAAACTCTGCTGTCAATGCCTAGGCTACCACTCACAAAAAGGCAACTGCATAGGAAGTTCCTAGCAACTGTATAATGATACCCTGGCAACTGCATAGAATCACACTGACAGCTACATAGCAACGCTCTTGCAACCGCCCACAACACACTATCAACCGCATATCAACACCTCAGCAACCACCCACGACATCCTAGCAAACGCCTTACAAGATCCTAGCAACTGCATAGCAACAGCCTGTCAACCGTGTAGCACCACACTGTCGATTCATCCCGCGGACTAAAAAAAGCTTGCGGCGACAGTGTAAAATTAGCCCAATTCAATGGAAAAACCATGGCAACACAGCACAACACCCTAGCAAATGCTTAGCAACCATTCACAACACTAGCATTGTGGAATCTGGTTCTGCTCAGAAACAACACATTCCCTTCAGAAAATGTAAAAATTGAATATTTGTCGAAATTATTCAATTGTCACAGTAATTTAAATGAGACACTTCCTCTAAACGTTCTAATAACATTAAATTCCTGGTTCAAATATTGTTGTGTGGCGTTCGGGATAGTTACTACACACACACACACATGTTTGAATGACTGAGGGTCAGTAGGGATATCATGATGGAGCTCGCTCGCCCTCCCCCCCCCCTCTCTCTCTCTAAACACACACAAACACTGTGTGGGGTGTGTACTGAACTCATCTAGTCAGCTGTTCTCCTTCAGCTTAATTACTCGAAAGCTCACCGAGTGTCTGACCTCCACCGTTAGCCTAATTGAAATTTAATTGAATTTCGCTTGTCTAGACTAATTAAGCTCCTACTGAAACCGCCAATCTTCAGCCGCTCACCGGACAGCGAGCTTCAGAGAGGGAACTGGAAGCCCGGAGGAGTGCAGGACAAAGGCGGCCATTTTAGGAAGCAGCTGACAGAATGGCAAACGTGTTTAAAAATAGCAAAGGAAAGGACTCAGGTCTTAATGAGGAAGAGAAGTAGGATCAGATTAAAGATTAGGTCTTGCTCATAGATGGGCCCACATGTGATGTTTTCAGAGTGATTTGGATGTGGGAAACATGGTAACGTGTTAAACGATTCAGAGTACTAAGCACTTGTTTCAGTAATGTCTGCAAATGATTCATTAGTCTTTTTGATTCACTAAAAATAACTGCTCAGAAGAATCATTCATTCAGGAATCAAACTAGTCCATATCCTATCCATAATCACACTCTCTCTACTTACAGTAGATACTGCAATTTAAAAATAAATGTGTGACTGTTAAAAAGTATGTTCTATGTAGTATGAGTGAAATTCGGACGTGTACTACATCCGTCATGTTGTCAATTGCTTCTCTGCTATTCTCAACTCCTCTCCCGTGGCCTCATGGGATATTTAAGTGTCCATCGGATATACACTTCAGATTCTCACTGGAAGTTGTAAATCATCTGGGTACTTTACTGTTTTATGAATGCTGCAGATTCAGATGTACTAGTTTTCACACACTGTATTCTTATATATAGTAGGTCAGTAGACATATAAGATGCAGATGCCTGTACTCTTTTGGTTCACTTAAAATAATGAACTCTTATGAGTCATTAGTTTGGGTTGAGTGATTTGTTTTTGATTCAATAAAAAGAGACCAATCAAGAGGGCTCTTTCTGGGATTAGACTCCGCTGGTTAAGCTGTATGTTTTTGATTCGCTACGAACAGGTGACTCATAAGATTCATTGTTCAATAATCGGACTACACTGGTTCATGATCTGATTCACGTCAATGTCAAGTTAATTGGTTCGTTCAGATTTCAGATTCATTTTAGTGAACTGCCTGCATTACCATTATAGTTTTTGGTTTAGGTCAAATGCATTTTCTGTAATTATTAATAAGTAGAGATCAACATGCTAGGTTTGTATAGAATTTTTGGAAGGACAAATTGAATTCTGAATATCTGACGGTACAATTTCCATGGAATACTCGTAGCTGGTTATCTAAAATTAATGATTTGCTCTTGAGATTGGAAGGCATATTCGTGGCTACCAAGAGTTTGGGTTAAATCTTGTGAGAGCTTTGCAGAATGAGGGTGAACACGACCCCATAGAAGTGCGGCTGTTATCAAAATTTCTCTCCTCTCTTACTAAAAATGCATGAAGTGTTTGTAGTGGGGCCAAGGTCAAAGATAATGTGGTGGGAGCACATTTTCATTTGTATTTCAATGAGTCACTTTTGATAAATGAATTTACCCAGTCCAATCTCCCAGCACAGAGTGATGGCTGTTTACTGATTATTAAGCCTTCTCTTTCTCGCTGTCCTTAGGTTCCTCTGCAGCCTGGACAGTCATTTAAGTTCACTGTGCTGGAGACTCTGGACCGCATTAAAGAGAGTTCCAGTTCCTTCAGGCTCAGTATCACAGGTGAGATCGTACAAGCTGATTTATCTCCTCCACAGGCTGATAACTGGCTGGACATGATGAATTAAAGGGATAGTTGACTTTGAAATACATTTTTGGTATGTTTTATCTTACCTCAAGGGCATCCAAGATGTAGGTGTCTTTGTTTCCGCAGTAGTTTCAATTTTGATATTTTTAGGTCAAACCGTTCTTGTCTGTCAGTCATATAATGCTGGTCTATGGTCACCACCTCAAAGAGCATGCACAGAGAAGTCCAAATTAAACATGATTTAATGACTCGTAAATGTAAGTACGCATTGATGACCTAAGACACGAAACGAGATAAATTTCTGCCATTTATGACTAAACTTTGGCCATTTTCTGTCATTTTTGTTTTGATTCTTGTAAGTAAATTGAGTTATTCGTATTAATGAATTGGTTTGTTCTGATTTATTTAAGTAAACTGGATAATTTAGGTTAATTTAAGTGAACCAGATTGTTTTGATTTCTTTAAGTGAAATAGTTTATTCTTATTAATTTAAATGAGTTGCTTTGTTATTCTGAGAGGTCATTCTGATTCATTTAAGTGAATCAAATTGTTTTGATTCCATTAAGTGAACTGGTTTGTTCTGATTCAGTTAAATGAATTGGTTTGATCTGATTTATTTAAGTGAATTAGTTAACTCTCATTCATTTAAATGAATCTGTTTGTTTTGATTCTTTTGAGTGAATTGGTTGATTCTGATTCATTTAAGTGAATCACAGATTGTTTTATTTTGTGTGAGTAAACTGGACTATTCTGATTAAGTAAACAGCATGTTCTGATTCAGTTAAATGAATTGGTTTGATCTGATTTATTTAAGTGAATTAGTTAACTCTCATTCATTTAAATGAATCTGTTTGTTTTGATTCTTTTGAGTGAATTGGTTGATTCTGATTGATTTAAGTGAATCACAGATTGTTTTATTTTGTGTGAGTAAACTGGACTATTCTGATTAAGTGAACAGCATGTAAACGGCTCTTTCAGGGACGTGTTAGCATGTTAAATTAAGTCGTTAGCATTAAAAATCGCGCAATTTATATATTTTTTCTACAGTGTTTTTCATTCATATTTTTCTTCCGTGTTTTTCACAGTCTCAAGCTGGAGTGTGAGAAGTTGGCCAGCGAGAAGACAGAGATGCAGCGACACTATATCATGGTGAGCTTCATGTTCAACCCTCATATCGTCAGATCTGCCGTACGCTCCAGTAAATACAGCATAAAAGCCCTTCTGTATTTAAAAGAGAGATTGCGTTTGATTTGATGTTAGGGGGTGTTTGGTGAGGACACGTCAGCGGGATGACGATAGGGGTTGGGGAGATGAAAAAGTGAGAGGGAGAAGGACGGGATATGCGAGAGCCAGAAAGAGAGGAGGATGGAATGAAAAGAGAAACAAAGATCGCAAGCACAGACATGTAAATAATGAGAGGGAACAGCAATTCAGTGCTTGCAGAAAGCAGATAACCCAGAAGGCTATATTTAGCCCACTAGACCTGCCATGTAGACTAAGACTTGTTTCAACAACCTTCCCTCTTATTTGAATGCATTTGTAGTTTACCGCATTTTTGGACGACTAAATGGACTGCGTGTTCTTCTTGTTTCTCTTTAGTGAATGATTTATATGTTGATGATGGGCATGAAATAGTTTTCAGAGCTCATTTGCGATGGTGCGTTAGCCTCCTGCCTATCAAAAGCAACAGATACAGTGGATTGGATGATTTTCAAGCGTTAAAAACCATGTTCGGTGCAACGGCTGGCGCACACACTCATATTTTGAGCAATGCTGAAAGTCTTATCTCTTGCTCCACTAGTGCAAAACTCCCCAAAAATGATTTCAATAACATTGTGGCATTGGTCTTAAAGTAAGGTGTTTTGATAACTTTATCCATATAAAAGCATCATTTATTGACAAAGCATTATAAAATCATTCACTGTCAGGTCCAATCCAGAGGACAGCTTCATCATTCAACAAAAGTTTCTTTTCCGAACTCTCCATTACACTGTGCCTTGTTTATAAAAACAAAATCCACTCAAACATAAAATCCTCCGATACGATCCGGGGTGGGATTAAAATATGTTTTCGACACTGGAATCCTTTTGAAGTCTATACAGAAACACAAACACTCTTCGATTCAAAGTGAACACTCTTTCACTCTTCCATTTGTCCTGTTTTCAGAAAATGAACACAAATCCAGTGTAGACAGCATCAGTGATTATAATGGGTTTTATTTGCTTTTGACGTGACGGTCATATCTAGTTTAGGCAAATGTCAGCCATTAAGCGACTGAACTCCAGTGGGCGGGGCCTATGGTGCGATGATGAATAACTATTCGTCGATGTTTTTCGCTCTGGAGGCAGTCAAATGCAAATGTGTTTGCCCGTGTGCTGTCACAGATCCTGCTATGTCAAAACGAGTCTTTTTGGAGCTTGATTAAATAAATGATTAGTTTATAATGAGGAGGATGATTTAGGCTATGAGATTGCAGGATGTTTTAAAGGTACAAAAGATCAAGGCAGTTTTGATTTCTCATGTCATGACCACTTACCTTGCACTTTGTAACCCGAAGCCCTAAAATTATACTATTTTTTTGTCCAGAAAGATTTTTTTTTTTTTGTAATTTAAAAAAAAATGTTTTGTTTTTTTAAGTAATTTTGATCATATTTTTTTCTATTTTTGAATGCAATTTTTTATTTTATTGATTTATTTACCTTTAAATTACTAGATTTTATCAATAAATAAATAGTAATTTAAGCACATTCTTCACATCAGTATGCATTCAGATACACATGCAGACATTATAAAATAATTTTTGAGTCAAGTTTTAGCTTTTTTTTTTTTTTTTAATTTGAGCATTCCTCACATTCCATTCATTCCTAAGGAGGTCAAATTGACCCCCATTGGGAAGATCTGGTCTTTTTTTTTCTTTTCAACTACACTCCTCGATTCCTTTTTTCTTGTGTATTTACTGTATGGTTCAAGTGTGACAAAAGCCCTAGGGTCTTGGACCCCTCTAATGAACACTTAATTTAAAATTAAAAAAAAAAATCTGGTCAAAATGACCCGAGGGAAGGATGAGGGTTAATAATATAGATAGGCCTAAATATTATTTCGCAATATAAATAACAAGGCTATGGCTTAAAAAAGCTTGTTAAAGTTGTGACTTAATATATTCAGCTTTGAAGCTCATGTGGAAGACAGAGGTATGAATTCGCTTTAGGAATTGTGCAGTATTTGTGTGTGTCTGCTGATGCGCCATCATGATCTAGCCTTTAATGAGCGACCGTCTACATGGTCACTCTGTGACCGTTATGTGTAATCCAGACCCTGGGGCGGTCGATGATAGAAAGATGGAGGGAACGAGGGGGCTAATGCGCTGCTTTTGCAGTAACACCCCCGCCTCGACTCATCCGTCTGATGCTCTTTGCTCGCCTCCGAACATTACTGTCACAGATTGCCCTCGCACGAGAGAGAGAGAGAACATAAGGAGAGATCAGCAGCAAAGACAAACGAGGAGAGTGAGAGAGAGCGGTGATTGAAACACAGCAGTAAAAAAATAAGAAAGAGGAGGGGAAGATAAAGGCTGATAGAGAAGATGAAGAGGAGAAGAACTGACAGAGTGAGAGAGACAGTATAAAGACGCAGCAGGAGACAGTACGACGACGAAAAGATGAGGGTAGAAAAAGAAAAACAGGAGAAAGAGATGAAGGGAAGGAGGGAGAAGGGCAAAACCCGGAAGGCAGAAAGGATAAGACGCATTTGAAAACGATTACTCCTTTGTGAGCTAAACATTTGAGTGCTGCCGTGTGTGAGAATAAGAGAGAGAGGGAAGTAAAGAGTGCAGAGGGTTTAAACAAACAAATAAAACTATGATACTAATGGATTGCTCCTGTTTTGAGAGATTTTGATACTTGTTGATGTCCTGTGATGGAAAATAACTGATATTTCCAAACCAAACAAATCAAACTGTTAAGCAAACAGCAGTTGCAGTGCAATATATTGATTTACTTTCTGTTTGACTTTTAACTACCATTTAAAGCTACGGTGCACAATTTCTGCTCCAAATCTAAATGCAAAAATAGTTTTCGAATCAATTTAAAAATATATATATTTTTTGAAATATCTTTAATTTACTTTCAGTTTCACTTTGAACTATTAAGGCTTGAAGTATTCTCGTCTAGCTTGATTTCAATGCCGCGAGTTTGGGTCGGGACTTTCACCTTTAATTTTTCCATCATGGTATGTTGGTCTAAACAACCGAGACCTAGAGGAATATTTTATTCTCCTTTAATAGCTCACAAAACCTTTGCTGTTGTCATTTTTCATCTATCAATCAACTCACATGTTGCTCTTAACTTTTTATGAAACAATTGTTGACATACATTAAGAGTGTAGAGCTATAAAATTAGTGCACATAATATGAATTGAGTTCTTATTGAGATCTTGGCACCATTTGAGATATTTTGTCTAATTTTACTTTGGTATCTTGGCAAATCTGATCATATTGTTGAGATTAGGGGTGTCACGATACACCTGTATGATGATAACCATAAATTACAGTTTATGAAGAGTTCAGATGCAAAAGCCTCTAAATGCCATTTGAAATTTTCTTCTTTAATGATGATTTTTATCAAACTTGTATATTTAAGTTCAGTAATTTCACTTAAATAACAATTAATAGGTGATTATCATTGCCATTTAAGTGAAATTACTGAACTTAAATATACAAGTTTTATAAAAATCATCATTAAAGAAGAAAATTTCAAATGGGATTTAGAGGCTTTTGCATCTGAACTCTTCATATATATATATATATATATATATATATATATAATATTATATATATATATATATATATATATACATACATTTAACTATATATATATATTAAATTAAATGTCACTATCATGTTAATACTACACATAAAATAACATCCTAAATAAGCAAGTGGCAGAAACTATCTGGTTGACACTCCAACTTGGTAGGTGGCAGTATTGCACCTGAAGTGCTTGTTTACATAGAATACATATTGCCTTCCTCTGCACTTTTATTATGCATTTCTCAATACCAAGAATATAGCCTAAAATAAAACATAAAACAGCAAAAATAACCATTATGAAAGTATAAATATAAAGCTTATACAATAGGAAAAAAAGACAGGCAAACAATTCAGCCAAACATACAAAGTCAGTGCTCTAGTATTTAAATATGTAAAATTATGACTTCACTTTGCCCTCAGCCAAAACGATATGCCCGGGATCAAATAATGGATTCACGAGACCAAATATTGCCCCTAGATATACACAAGATGAACGATCTCATATTTAACCATTATAGAGACATCAGAGCCAGCGGCAAATGTCGAGCTAACTTATGAGTTGCCGAGGTAAGGCTGATCCAGGCGGGGTAAATGAGCGCTGAGCACCTGGTAAACTCCAAAAAACAGCGAAGAACATTTTTAAGTAGTCGCTATCTTTATTAACAAACCACATTTGAGCTTTAAACCAATACATTCTCACCTGAAAACTCTTAAAACTACATTTCGTGAAACTATAGCAGTTGTATTTTTAAAATTATAGGCTACGGGTTTTCTACTCTTCCATTGACGCTTGTTGCAAGGTCGCACAAGTCACCTCTCGACGCATCGTCAGTAAAAGGGGCGGAGCAAGAACTGTCCTTGGCTAGATGTGAACTTTGAATCGGGACAGTACTGATGACACAACAGCCCTGGTTCTCGATCTCTTCTAAACTCTTCTAGATTACTAGGATCTTTTTCTCAGGAAAAATCGTAGCAACAGGAGAAGGTCTTCACTTAAACTGAAATAATTGAGGCATTATATGCGTATATGTGAGCAAATGGGAGATATTATTATTATTATAGTGTTGCTGTACAAATTAAAATTTGTTTGCATTTCAGTTAATAGTGTTGCTTTTCAGAAATTTGCCATACTCCTCATACCAATTATTCAAGGTTTTATTCAATTTGAAATTTAATTTAATCAAATGGCTTCCTGCAATTTGCTTAATCTATAATTGCTCTGATATGAATTGGCATTCTATGAATCGCAGCTCTGGTTTTGTGTGGCTGATAATAACGCACTCACAATTTTCCTCCGTCTGTCAGGAAACTTGCCAGGTAACTGTAATTCAGTCTCGGATTCAAGAACAGCCGCCAACAGCACTGTCACTTACGACGTTCGTGGCTTTCATATAATGTCACTTTATTGTCTGGAGAAAAAAAAGGAAGTATGATGAAATAATTTATGGTACAGCTTTTTCTGTGGCTGATTTAAATAATGTCTTGGCTTTATTATGAATTTCTTAATACACAACTTCTCATGATTCGTTTTTGTCTTCTGTGAACCACAACAAAAGATATTTGGAGGGGAAAAAAAAGGTCAATACAATGAAAGTCAATAGGCTCCAATCATTTTTGTTTTGGACCCCATTGAATTTCAGTGTATAGACAAAACATTTTGCAACATTTCTTCATTTGTCTTCTAAGAAAGGACGGTTTGGAGTGACATGTTACAGAATTTTCTTTTTGGTTGAACTATTCCTTTAAGATTACACTTTCAAAATCTCCAATTGACCTTCACAGGTGGAATGCATCTTGAATTCAATTTCACCCCATGCCTATTTACCATAATTACAGTTCTCGGAATCTGAATTATGTGTTTCTATGGCAACACCATTAACATCAAAATGAATCTGTGTATTTTGAGTAATCAAAAGATATTATATAATATATCTTTCATTTACTTTCAGATTATTATTTACACAACAACAGTGGGGTATGAAAATGCAAACGTTTGAAAAATTATACCGTTATAGTCTGTAAGCTTTGTGTTTCTTTACAAAGGGACATCGCCATCTACTGGCCTGGCATAAATAATACACAGTTTTTAGTCGTTTTCATTGATCCTTGTTAACAGGGATCATTTTGACGAAGTTTGCGAAACTAAACCTAAAATAGTATTTATTTCTATAAATGCAAATATATTTAGTATTTCCTTTTTTGGAGCTTAGAGGGTGGCTATTTTTATATCAGTCAGTTCAAATTGGGCTGTTTGGTGTAAATGGGGTCATGACTGATGCGATGATCCTGAGAGTATAACCCAATGGAAATTACATCTCATCAATGTTGCCTGTCTAGTGTTACTGGATCAGTATGAGCCAATCAATGTGTTTGAGCTTAGAAGATCACAGCTGCATGCAGTACAGGAGTGGACTGTCACACACACACACACACACACACACACACACGCACACACACACATGACACATCTACAGAGATTTCAGCAAGAGTCGAGTGTCCAGCGACACAGCAGGATGTGTGTACGAGCAACGGATGGCAAACAGCTGCCGGGTTGAACCAAGGGACATTTTCCCTCTCGTTAGACCGCCGAGAACTAATACACACACATGCATTGCAAAGAGAAACGCACGCACACACACACCACGGCTGCGGCAGGAGGAGAGGCTTTGTTGAACCTCCGCCGCACTGAGCCCCGCTACATCCGCCACATGCCGTGCGCAATCTGCTCCAGACAACACACACACACATACATGTATTCATAGACTCAGGGGATTACACACTCACGGTGTAGAATGAGAATGCACATAACATGAGAGAGCTTATATAACAAAGAGACACGACGAGGGAACGAAAGAATATTAAGCCATTATGAGTTAAAAGCGTATCAAAATCCCACTGATATCCAGAATAACAACACAATCACAAAAACAACATCATGTCATGGTGAAACTCACACACCTTCAGTTATGAGCTTAGGCCTAAATACATGCTGTAAACTAGGCCTACTGCATCTGCAACACACTTTCTTGTGCTAAATTCATATCTCAAATTTATTATATTGCCAATATTTTTATTGTTGTTTATATTTCTGTGTGGTGTTTTCAATATGAGATTTCAATATGAGAATTTTTTCGGAAAAACTGCAAAAGACAGTCTCAAAAACACGCTTTGAAATCGCTGGCGTTTTTGACGTCACAAACTACCTAACCAATCAGGTCAACGTGTCGTTGGCATCTAGCCTGAGTGAGTTGAGGCGGGGCTAAATTGCATATTCATAGAGGCGTATATTCTAAATGAGGCAAGGGTGTAGAGTTGCATTCAAGCTATTTTAAGGCATGAAAAAAATTCAAGGAAAAACTTTTTAAACATGTAATTTTAGTGATATTTACGTGATACAATTATTGACTACAGGGCGAATTTAAGAATATCTTGTAGTGTGTGATGCGCAGCAGTTTTTTAAATCTTGTAGTGTGTGTGCAGGTTTGAGATTTGAAGGAAGAAAATCTTAATGCAACCAGATTTCACAATCGGTTAAGATTTATAAACTCCTGTAGTGTGAGCCCGGCTTTAATGTAGACATTTCCATTCAGTTGGTACCGATATGTCAGCCAGGTCAATGAATTGACTGATATATCACCCATTTTAGTGAGAATTTGAGTTGTCGCTCAGCGTTTTCTCCCTGGATTGATTCTACATCAAAACATGCTGAGAACTAATGTTGGTGTGGAATGATGCAGAGACCTTTTTTGGCCGTAGCGGAGGTAATATGAGCGGCGCTGAATAGCCTTCTGGGAAAAGATTTTTAAAGCGGAACTGTTTCCAGCGGCCCTGCTGCACTATCAGCATGCAGAACCAGCAAACGTGATTTATATTTGTGTGTGTGTGCCAGCAGACCAGATAGATGGGGAAATAGTTTGGCTGTTTTGTCACGCTTTATCCAAAATCCATCACCCAACGGAGTGATCAATACTGGAAATGCAATAAATTGAAACACAGTGCTACATGTGTCTAAAATGCTTCATTTTATAGACTTGCATTTAAACTGCCAGTCAAAAGTTTGGACAGGCTTGACTGGATTTATGGTTTCATAGTCTTAAAATCCTTTTGGATTAAAGGTTTATATGCAGAAGCTTGAAATGACTTTTGTAGGCAAAATAGTTTCAATGCATGAGTTTCTTTTGCAAAACATATATATATATATTAGGGCTGTCAAACGATTATTCGCGATTAATCGATTTGCATCCAAAATAAAAGTTGTGTTTACATAATATATGTGGTTGCACTGTGTATCATTATTATATACAGTATATATATATATATATATATATATATATAAATAAACACACATGCTTGTATATATTTAAGAAATTTTTCATGTATATACTGTATATAGATTTATATCTAATTTATATTATATATAAATATTAATATTTTATATATAAATAATATTTTTTCTTATATATAGATGCGCACGTGTGTGTGTGTGTGTGTGTGTGTGTGTGTGTGTGTGTGTGTGTATATATACAAAATAATTATACACAGTGCACCCACATATATTATGTAAACAGAAACTTTTATTTTGGATGTTTGACAGCCCTAATATATATATATATATATATATATATATATATATTTTGTTTTGCAAAAACAAAATATTATGAATAAATATAACAATATATTATGTAAACACAAACTTTTATTTTGGATGCGATTAATCGCGATTAATCGGTTGACAGCCCTAATATATATATATATATATATAAATTGCCATTTTATTAACTATTAATTCCTACAGGTTGGTAAAAGCTAATACTCTTCCGTGTTTTAGGGATTAAAACTATACAGCTCTATAAGCCACACAATTTGAGGTATCATTCATTCAGGAGTATTAATGTAGATACTGCGCAAGCACTAATAAAGAATGAATGGGTAGGTGTGTCTAAACTTAGAAATATTTTACCGCTTGTTAACCTCATATCGACACCTTTGGGGGTTTCCAGGCCCATCATTAGACATGATGAGACTTTAATCCTGAGATTAAACCACAGAGGTTTGATAGAAGAGAGGAGGTCAGGCACACATCACGGATAGGAAATGGAGTTTACAGAATAATAGAGGAGAAGGGCAGGAGAGAGGAGGATTAGAAAGGCAGGTCGGTAACGAGGGAGCCGATCGGAAAAGACAGAGATAAGGGGGAGAGAAGAGGAAGAGGGATTTTTTTCAAATCGAGCTACTCACAGAGCGGTTATGGAGTGTGTGAGCGTGACAGACAGACTGAGAGAGAGACAGAAAAAGCGAGCAATTGTGTCAGGTTTCATCTTCATCATTGGCATTGCTGCTCATCTCCCTGCTGAATGAGACACGCTGAACCACACGCTGTCGCTGACACGCTCAAAATCTCTTCGTCTTTCTGTAGTTTCAGCGAGTCGTTAGTGTCTGTCAGGCTGCTGAGGTTTTAATTTGATTGATGATGATTCACTGCTGTTTAATTCATCAGATTGATGCTTTCCCGTTTGTGTTCCCACAGTACTACGAGATGTCCTACGGGCTCAACATTGAGATGCACAAACAGGTAGGATAAACCTGTGGGCAAATTCACTAAACCGTTTTGCCTGGGGTATTTTAGGACTCGAAAACAGCATTTCATTCTCCATTCACACGTCACACACTAATCTAATTTTGTTTTTAATTCAGATTAGGACAGGCTGTTTATAGGTTTGCATTGCAGCTATGCACAATATTACACATTATCAAATTAAGTTTGCGTCGTGTCCTTAATGATTCTGATCTTACTGTTTACACTCTAAATACATATTGATGTGGTTTGAATCTGGTTTGTTATAGTCTAATTTCATGTGATATGACCTTTACACTTGAAATACATAAAGTTTTGGATCCCGTTTATAAACGTGATTTCATGTGATCTGACTGTTTACACTTGTAACGTGGATGTGGTTTGGATCCGGTGTATAAACATCTGATTTCATGTGGTCTGACCGTTTACACTTGTAACATGGATGTGGTTTGGATCCGGTTTATAAACATCTGATTTCTTGTGGTCTGACCGTTTACACTTGTAACATGGATGTGGTTTGGATCCGGTTTATAAACATCTGATTTCATGTGGTCTGACCATTTACACCTGTAACGTGGATGTGGTTTGGATCCGGTTTATAAACATCTGATTTCTTGTGGTCTGACCGTTTACACTTGTCGTGGATGTGGTTTGGATCCGGTTTATAAACATCTGATTTCATGTGATTTGTCCATTTACACTGTTGAATGTAGTTTTGATCCGGTTTATAAACGTCTGATTTCATGTGGTCTGACCATTTACACTTGTAACGTGGATGTGGTTTGGATCCGGTTTATAAACATCTGATTTCATGTGATTTTAATGTAGTTTTGATCTGGTTTATAAACGTCTGATTTCATGTGGTCTGACCATTTACACTTGTAACATGGATGTGGTTTGGATCCGGTTTATAAACATCTGATTTCATGTGGTCTGACCGTTTACACTTGTAACATGGATGTGGTTTGGATCCGGTTTATAAACGTGATTTCATGTGGTCTGACCGTTTACACTTGTAACATGGATGTGGTTTGGATCCGGTTTATAAACATCTGATTTCATGTGGTCTGACCGTTTACACTTGTAACATGGATGTGGTTTGGATCCGGTTTATAAACGTCTGATTTCATGTGGTCTGACCGTTACACTTGTAACATGGATGTGGTTTGGATCCGGTTTATAAACATCTGATTTCATGTGGTCTGACCGTTTACACTTGTAACATGGATGTGGTTTGGATCCGGTTTATAAACGTCTGATTTCATGTGGTCTGACCGTTTACACTTGTAACATGGATGTGGTTTGGATCCGGTTTATAAACATCTGATTTCTTGTGGTCTGACCGTTTACACTTGTCATGGATGTGGTTTGGATCCGGTTTATAAACATCTGATTTCTTGTGGTCTGACCGTTTACACTTGTCGTGGATGTGGTTTGGATCTGGTTTATAAACATCTGATTTCATGTGATTTGTCCATTTACACTGTTGAATGTAGTTTTGATCCGGTTTATAAACGTCTGATTTCATGTGGTCTGACCATTTACACTTGTAACGTGGATGTGGTTTGGATCCGGTTTATAAACATCTGATTTCATGTGATTTTAATGTAGTTTTGATCTGGTTTATAAACGTCTGATTTCATGTGGTCTGACTGTTTACACTTGTAACATGTGGATGTGGTTTGGATCTGGTTTATAAACATCTGATTTCATGTGATCTGACCGTTAAAACTTGTAACGTGGATGTGGTTTGAATCCGGTTTATAAACATCTGATTTCATGTGATCTGACCGTTAAAACTTGTAACGTGGATGTGGTTTGAATCCGGTTTATAAACATCTGATTTCATGTGATCTGACCGATTACACTAGTAATATATAAGAATGCTTTTGGAACTGAGCATGCCAGCTTCTAAGACGAGGAACTTAACTTTGCACATCATGTTCAATGTGCTATCATGTGATATCAATGTGAATCAGTTACTGAAACCACATAAACATGTGAGTGCAAATAAACCAAACTATCAGTGGGCACGATTAATGCTCGGTGAATTCCCACGTGTGCACAATAAAATGGTTTTAATGGGGTTTATGGGGCGCTCATAATCATCCATGATTCTTCATAATCACACACACATTCATAACATCATGCGCACACGCATGCTTTTAGAGTACTGTTAAAAGCATGAAGCAGACTTTATTTACATTTTAAAACTATCATTATATAAATTAAAACTATATATTCTATTTTAAGACAGCCAATCAGATTGGAGCAGGCGATCAATCCATTTCCATTTCTGTAGACAAAATGCATCATAAGATCCATGAACGAGCTTTGCATTGTGTCTGTGAACATGCCACACTTCATCAACAGCTTTTAGTGTTAGTGTCTGCTGTAAGAATAGATAGTGCCTTGTGTGTCTCTCTTTCCTTTCCTTTTCACAAAATCAGTCTTTCCCAGCCTCAGCGATGTGTGAGAAAGAGGGTAATCATACATGCTCTCTGTGTGAGCTGGCACAGATGAATGGAGAGTGATGGAGGAAGACAAGAAAGAGAAAACGAAGAGAGAAAAACCTTTGAGTATCAGCATAAAATTTTGTTAAGAATCACAGACTAAGTCAGGAATCAGGATGAGACTGTCTGATTGAAACGTGACGCACAGTTTTTTTTTTTTTTTTGGGGGGGGGGGGGGGGGTGGTATACCGATATACAGTCCTAATGCTTTCATATTTACATTTTCAACAACCTGATTTTCTTCCTAATAGGATTCCACATCTCTCTGTCTCCGCCCCCTCTCTAATCCTTGTTTGATTGTAGTTAGTCTCAGCCTCAGATGTCATGCTTACGGGCCGTTGGCTGAACATCTGATGCATATGCCAGACTTATCCTGAAACAATTCAGTTTCACCGTTGTCATCTGATTGGTTGAATTCTATAGGATGTCCGGGAGACGTGTTTGTTGTGTTCTTTAAAGGGATACTACACCATTTTTGGAAATAGGATCATTTTACCACTCCCCCAGAGTTAAACAGTTGAGTTTTACCATTTTCAAATCCATTCAGCCGATTTTCTGATATTTAGAAGAATATCAGTAACCAGACAGTTTCTGGTCTCATTGACTTCCATAGTAGGAAAAAATATATACTATGGAAGTCAATGAGACCAGAAACTGTCTGGTTACTGATATTCTTCTAAATATCAAAAAATACATTCGAAAACAGTAAAACCCAATTGTTTAACTCCGGGGGAGTGGTAAAATGAGCCTATTTCCGAAAAAAAGTGGAGTATCCCTTTAACGGTCCGCCTGGAAACAAATGCCTGTGACGCCAAATTCCCTTATGGAAGAAGACCGCCGTCGTGTTTACATCTGTGACAATGAGCGCTTACCAGTATCAACTCAATGCTGGATTTTCAAAAGTATGTGAAATTGCAGTAAACTTGCACTACATTCTTGAATTAATAATTTTTGGACGTCTGTTTTGCAGGGACATCGACTTTACATTTTCACGCCCCTAAACATGTCGTGGAACTAACTGTGATTGGTTACGTTATATGTCAGTCAAACGTCCTCACGGGATCTTGACCAATGAAAGCTGTGCATTCACATGATGGCCATCTCAATAGTTCACCGTATCTGAATACATGTGTTCACTGAATTCCTGAATTCCGTCCGTCCATCCATCCACCAAATGTGTGTGTGTCTGAGAGAGAGAGAGCAAGAGATGTAATAGTGGACAAAATGGAGAGAGAGAAAACAGCAGAACCATAAAAAAAGTGGGAATACAAAGCCACACACGCCTTTAAAGTGATGCCCCCGGATGCAGGTTTGCCCCTTTTATGTCTAATGGAGCCAATCTCTCCTTCTCTCTCTCTCTCTCTCTCTCTCTCTTCAAACATTTAAAGGCAAATATTAAGCAATGAGGCTCTAATCACTGATTGTGGTCACAGGCACTGAGGTATTCAATAAAGCCCTCATTTTCTCCTCTCCTCATCTGTCACACTGCGCTCTCTCTCTCTCTTTTTCAGTCGCTGTGTCTCTTTCGCCCCCTGTCTCCCTCTATCTGTGCTTGTTCTCTCTTGAATTCTCCTTCTCTCGTTTTGGCTCGCTCTACTGCTCGCTCGCTCTCCTTTTCTCTTGCTCTCTCTCTCTTTCTCTGGGCAGTGTGCCAGCCTCTCTTCCCCTGGCACTTCGCCAATATCCCCCTCTCCTCCCTCCCTCCCTCCTCTCTCTCCCTCTCTTTCTCGCTGATTGATGGCCCTTCCATTCGGAGAAAGGAAGAAAAGAAACATCGAGGGAGGAAAGGAGAGCAGTAAAGCACTGAAAATCAGACACACACACAAAGGAGGACACAGGCACACATATATGCACAAAACCCTACACACATGCAAAGGCTCATGGGTAATTAAATGAGTGAGGGGAAAGAGGAGGGATACATACAGGCACATTCCTGCACATGAGTACACAATGCACATACTCATCCAAAAACATTTTATAAGTTACTTATAATAATTAAAATAATGTAGATACTTAGACCGTACTATTTGTATGTGATATTTATTTTAAATGTTTTTAAGTGGAAATATGATTTATTGCATTTGGATTGTAAAAAAGTTAATAACTGTTCAACACACACAAAGCAAGCATATGCAAATGTGGAGATATGTTCACACACTGACGTGAATTCTGGGTAAATATATGTGCACACAAAGGCAGCGGGGCATCTGCACCTTCTCAGGTCCTTTTGATCGAGTGACAAAGCCATTATGCTAAAAGGTTGGCACCCTGGGACTTCCTCACAAACATGCACACACGTCTTGTTTTCCTTCGCCGTTTCTTCATTTCCCTCCTGCACTCTCTCTCTCTCTCTCTCTTTCTCAAACACAATCGGTTTCATTCCAAAGCAGTTACGTCACTCGCTCCCCCAACCTCATTATACACAAATGAGCTCTGTTTCACTCACACACACAATCTGCAGATGTTCAGCATCACTGCTACACTGTGTCCCAACAAAAATGCAAACAACCGAACATGCTTCCGTTCACTTGTCTGCAGTCTCATGTGGGAGAAGTATTCTGCCAGGTAATAATAGAATTTACAGATGATAATTATTCTATGAAATGTCACAACCTAATTTTAGGCAAACGTTAATTGTACTACAGATAGATAGATAGACAAATAGATAGATATACAGACAGACAGATAGACAAATAGATAGACAAATAGTTAGACAGACAGATAGATAGACAGATACATAGATAGACAGACAGAAAGACAAATAGATAGACAGACAGATAGACAAATAGATAGATAGACAGATACATAGACAGACAGATAGACAAATAGATAGACAGACAGATAGACAAATAGATAGATAGACAGATACATAGATAGACAGATAGACAAGTAGATAGATACTTAGATAGACAGATAGACAATAGTTAGACAGACAGATAGATAGGCAAATAGATACATTGATAGATAGATAGATAGATAGATAGATAGATAGATAGATAGATAGATAGATAGATAGATAGATAGATAGATAGATAGATAGATAGATAGATAGATAGATAGATAGATAGATCAAAGTGTAAGAAGACTTATTGACTTGATAGATAGATAGATGGATAGATGGATAGACAGACATATAGACAAATAGACAGATAGACAAATAGTTAGACAGACAGATAGATAGATAGGCAAATAGATAGATAGACAGATACATAGATATACAGACAGATAGACATACATAGATAGACAGACAGATAGACAAATAGTTAGACATATGGACAGACAGATACATAGACAGACATATAGACATACTTAGATAGACAGACAGATAGACAAATAGATAGATAGATAGATAGATAGATAGATAGATAGATAGACAGATACATAGACAGATAGATAGACAGACAGACAGACAGATAGACAGATAGACAGATAGATAGATAGATAGATAGATAGATAGATAGATAGATAGATAGATAGATAGATAGATAGATAGATAGATAGATAGATAGATAGATAGATAGATAGATAGATAGATAGATAGATAGTGAGACGGACAGACAGATAGATAGACAGACAGCGTTGGACAGACAGACAGACAGATAGATAGACAGACAGAGACAGGCGGATTGATGCAAGAATAACTGTTTCACAGTATAAAATTGATTAATTGCAAACAACAACTATACAATCAATTCCCTATGGACAAAATGAACATTATTTTCCTGTTCGAGAAGCCTTTACAAAAAGTAATGCATTGGCGTCCATGAGACGCCCGCTCAACCGGACTGAGTGGCAAAAGAGCCTTCTGCGTGAATGGATTTATTAGGGGAAAATGTGAGTAAAACAAAGGATTTTCAGTTTAAATTAGTTTGAACTCGATATAAGTGTTCCTTACAACTTACCAGAGATCCAGTGATCCATGGATATTGACATGCAGCCAGGAATCGTGTCTCCTGACATTTATATGTGCCTGATTTCAACGCTGGGGAAATACACAAAGCAAATTTGCCTGTGAACTTATATACTAATATATGTGTTATATCATCATATCATCCAGCCCTAAAACATTTTTTGTCAGTTTATTTAAAAAACGTCCAATTATGCAGAATATCCGATGGTAAATATTTAATTGATGAGTTGTCATTTTCAATACAATATATAGGATATAATTCTACCCAGAAATTCAGCATATTAACACAAAATTATAACTGAAATCCACCTTGTACTGCCAGGACCAGCGGTACATTTGCTTCTCTATTCAGGAAAGTCTGTAAAAATATATCTCAGATTTTTTGTCAAATCACTCCGGCCAACGGTGACGTCATGCGTATACCCTCTAGCAAACTTCTGTTTCATGCTGCCTTTAATATACTGTGTGCAGATTAAAATAGCTCCAAAACAGGTTTGCTTCGCGCATCATGTAGGCATTAGAGTACACTTAGAGGTCTGTTTCTGTGCCTCCATCACTGCAAATACTCCTCCATTAGTGTGTGTGTGTGTGTGTATGTTTGTGATCTGAGAGAATCAGAGAGCCTTATCACGGGACAGAAAAGACTGGAAAAACAGTAAATAGAAGATAATAGCTGCTGGAGTATGAAGGTGGATGGTGACCCTTTAAAATGTGTTGAAAGGAACGTGTGTGTGAAAGAAAGTAATTAACTGTTCTTGTGTTGCAGCGTGTGTGAAACACTTGTCCGCCTCTCTGTTGTTCTTAGTAAGACTATAATTAAACGTGTGTGTGTGTGTGTGTTTGTGTGCTCTATTGCAGGGAGATTGAGACTATTCAAGCTATTCAGCCCTGAAGTACACACTCTTTCTCTCTCTCTCTTGCGTGCACACACACACACACACACACACACAGAAAGAGAGCCCAGGGAAATGGCTAAATGAGTAGAACTCGGCACAATACAAACTAGACATTTTTTAATAGAAAATGTAAGTCTTGACTCTAAGGTATTGCTATGTGGTTCCTAGGGTGTTCTGAGTGGTTACTAGGATGTTATGTGGGATTGTTAGGGGGTTGCTAGGGTAATTTGGGAGGTTTTTAGAATGTTACGAGTGGCTTTAAGTACATTTCTGCAGTTGCCAAGGGGTTGTTAGGGTCCTCTGGGTGGTTTCTATGATGTTTTAAATGTTTTTAGCACATTGCTGGGGTGTTTTGGGTGGTTACTGGGGTGTTGCTATAGGATTCGTAGTTAATTAAGGAAGTATTGCTATGCAGATAGTGTTTCTAAAGTGTTAGTGGTTGCTACGGTTTTCTGGTGGTAGTTAGGATTTCACTTGTTTCATGACCGGATGGATCAGCCTTTTTTGAATGAATCTCTTGAATGAATGATTCAATGACAATTTTTTTTTTAACAGTCCCTTGTCGTTACCTACTGGTGCAACGATGTAAAAGCTACAATCGTTATTTGAAGTGCTGTGTTACAATTGTTATTTCAAAGGAGTAGTTAACTTTAAAAAAAAAAAAACTTTTGCTGATAATTTTTTCAAACCCATGTCATCCAAGATGTCCATTTTTTTTTTCTTCAGTTTTAAAGAAATTAAGGTTTTTGATGAAAAAATTCCAGGATTTTCTCCATATAATGGACTTCATTGGGAACCAAACGGTTCAAGGTCCAAATCAGAGTTTCAGTGCAGCTTCAAAGGGCTTTAAACGACACCAGACGATGAATAAGGGTCTTATCAAGGACCATTTGAGTCTTGACTCGAAAAAAGATTTGTTCATTTTGATGAACGAGTTTGAACAGGAGAGTCACGAACGCTAATCACAGAACAGAGCAAGGCGACCATTTGAGCTTATAAAACGTAAACTTTTTTATTTGTTTTTTAAATGGCCGATCGTTTCGCTTGATAAGACCCTTATTCGTCGTCTGTAATCGTTTAAAGCCCTTTGAAGCTGCACTGAAATTCTCATTTGGACTTTGAACCGTTTGGTTCCCATTGAAGTCCATTATATGGAGAAAATCCTGGAATGTTTTCATCAAAAACCTTAATTTCTTTTCGAGTGAAGACAGATAAGTGATAAGTGATTCTCCTTTTAGTGATAAGTTACTTTCAAGAGGTGATTTGCTCTATTTTGATCTCCGTAGACAGTGTTTATATCTGGACTATGAACTTTTATACCAATACTTCTGTGTTAAGGTAAATTATTGTAAAGGAAATAATGATTCTGTGTGGTTCATACATATACATTAAACTGCTCTCTCTTGATCAGCGCAGCGCAAACACAGATTTCAATGTTCCGGTGTGATTTTGCCAAAGGTTTAATGTTAATAGACACAGGCGAGATCGCGTGTGTGTTTGAATGTAGCTCTAGTTGCTATTGTTTTCTAAGTGAGTGGTTTTAAACTAATGTCTACGGTGTTCTGGGTAGCGCATTTGGACTATTTTTTTTATCATTCATGTCCACAAAATTACAATTAACCTACATCCTCCATCACAGCAGAGCTAAATTGCCTTCACTACGTTATTATCTGTCACTCTCTTTCTCTGTCTTGTGTATCTGTTGTTGCTGAGACATCATTGTCATGCATATAATCTAAGCTGAAGCCATTTGTGTGCTTGGGAATTGAGAGCCCAGTGCAGTAGTACAGGTTTATCACTGTCACTGTTTTCTCTCCTAATCGAGCGTGTGTATGTGTGTGTTCTCTTGCAGGCGGAGATCGTGAAGCGACTCAGTGCTATCTGTGCTCAAATCATCCCTTTCCTCTCTCAGGAGGTACGCTGACAGTGATTGACAACTCATCAGGGTTCTGGGGTCTTCTCCCAGAGGCACACACACACACTTTCTCTCCCCGTCAGACTGATTCACCGTCGGCACAGCAGACAGCTTCTAGATTTTAACGACCCCCGTCTCACATCTCCAACCAAACAAGGATTGCTGATATCCTGCGTTTTTTAACGAAGCAGCAAACTCCTGCCGTGTCCGGTTACCGAGAGTCATCTGTGATGGTTTGATGAGCTCAGTTTGCAAATTCAGCTTGAGTCCAGCATCTCTGTCTGCTTTATTAGCAGCTCTACTTCTAGTGATACCAGCAGGCAGTCCCGTCCCAAACCCATGCTATTGGCTGAACCGAAAGTCAATGACTCGCTTCACATTAATGAGCCAAAACATCAAATTTTAGTCATTCGTGCAAAAATCGAAGAGTTCTTGGGGACCGCCGTACAGTCACATGTTGCTTGTTTCTTTCAGTTCGTATGAAGTGTAGAAGGAGAAGCTCTTGAGATTCGGCTGTTGCTTTTCTAGCTGTACTTTGTTGCGAATGGCTGAGGTTGGAATGGTTTGTTTTGTGTCCCATCATACTCAAAGCTCCAGTTCCGTTGTCGTCGAGCCATAGGTCCGTTATTATCTCTCAAGTCCACGGTGGGTTGTATGAATGCAACACTCCTTTAGAGTTTTAAACTGTACTGGGAAATGAGAGAGGATTGCTTTCTCATAAAACTTATCAAAGATTTAGATTCATTAAAGGAGTAGTTCTCTTTTAAAAAAACTTTTTGCTGATAATTTACTCACCCCCATGTCATCCAAGATGTCCACGTCTTTCTTTCTTCAGTCGGAAAGAAATTAAGTTTTTTAATGAAAACATTCCAGGATTTTCCCCCATATAATGGACTTCAATGGGAACCAAATGGTTCAAGGTCCAAAAGACAGTTTCAGTGCAAACTGCAAACTGTTGAAAGGGCTTTAAACAAATCATGAATAAGGGTCTTATTAAGCGAAACAATCGCTCATTTAAAAAAACAACAACAAAGTTTAAGTTTTATAAGCTCAAATTGCCTTGCTCTGTTCTGTGATGCGCGTTCGTGACTCTCCTGTTCGAACTCATTCATCAAAATGAACAAATCTTTTTTTCGTGTCATTTGGTTGATTCAACGAACGAAATGAACCAATTGACTCGGAAAAAGATTCGTTCATTTTGATGAACGAGTTCGAACAGGAGAGTCACGAATGCGCATCACAGAACAGTGCAAGGCCAGCTTATAAAACTGAAACTTTGTTGTTGTTGTTTTTTTAGATGAGTGAGCGTTTCGCTTGATAAGACCCTTATTCATCATCTGGAATTGTTTAAAGCCCTTTTAACAGTTTGCAGTTTGCACTGAAACTGTCTTTTGGACCTTTACTGTTTGGTTCCCATTGAAGTCCATTAAATGGAATGTTTTCATCAAAAATCTTAATTTCTTTTCGACTGAAGAAAGAAAGACATGGACATCTTGGATGACATGGGGGTGAGTAAATTATCAGCAAAAGTTTTTTTCAAAAGTGAACTACACCTTTAAGATGATTTGCCTATGAAATGATCAAATCCTTCAGAACGATTTCAGTGACATCGCCTGCTCACAGCTGATATATCAAACCAATCAGATGCTTCATTTATTGTAGTAAGACTTCTGTAAATAACACATCTGTTTACTGATCATTGTTCATATAGTCTGTTTGTGAATATGACCTTTAATATAATGTATACTGAGACAGCTCCCTTTCATGTGAGGATACTTGTGTTCAAAATATAACGCCTGGAATGGATCTTCATTTCAAAAGAGCGGATTTATTTGGGCAGATGAGCAATAAAAGATCAGCCGGCCATGTATTGATCAGGAGGTCACCTTTAGCATTAGCTTGAGTTAGTGTCTGCTGACGGGGAAGGACAGAGTGATATGTCTGTCAATACCTGACTCTGTGTGTGTGTGACTGGCAGAGGGATGTAGAGAGAAAGAGTGTGAGGGTAAATAGTTTAGCTGTGAAATGTTTACTTAAATGTGTGTTTGAGTTTGTGTGTCTGCGAATGTGTATTTTGTGTCTCTTTCTTAACATTTATCTGTCTGTCTGTGTGTCTGTGTGTGTGTGTGTCAGCATCAACAGCAAGTCGTTCAGGCGGTGGAACGTGCCAAACAGGTCACCATGGCAGAACTCAACGCCATCATAGGGGTGAGTGACCTCTGACCTTTTTGACTTCTCATACAGATAGATAGATACTGTAGATGGATAGATAGACAGAATATTTGATCTCTTTGTCTGTCTGACCTGATTATATATCCGTCCATCCATCACTTGTGATGTATGTGTTTGTGTGCCTGACAGTTGTCTTTCTCTCCGTCTCTCTGTTTGTGTGTCTGTCTCTCAGCAGCAGCAGCTCCAGCACCTGTCTCACCACACTCCAGGTATCCCTCTCACTCCTCACCCTTCAGGTCTGTCTCTGAGCGGCACGTCCGGGCTGCTGGCCCTCACCGGGGCCCTGGGAGTCTCCGCTCACCTGGCCAACAAGGACGACCGCAACCACCTGGACCCCGAGCACCTGCGAGGTGAGTGTCTGTCTGACCTGTCTTACTCTTTAATCTCACAGGTGCATGGGGCTATTAAATGAATTTAAATTAAAGAATTAATTGTATAAATAAAAAGATTTAGGCCGTGTACCCACCAAAGCGCTTTTCCACACGCCTTGCGTACGTTTTCAATTGTTTTCAATGGGAGTGCCGCGTTTTTTAAATGCCATGAGCGTAACGAGGTGCTGAGCGTTTTTTTTTTTCACGCTGACTGGTCGCCGAGAGTTAAAAAATTGTCAACTTTGGATAAAACGCAGCCGTCATCACTGTCACTTTTTACCCAGCCGTCCAATCACAGTGGAGGAGGGGCGGGACTAAACCACACGGACCACAACATTCTTTCTGTACAACGACATCAACCAACCGAGCTAACCGAACAAAATGGATGAAAAATATATTTTTAGAATGAAACAAATTATCTGCGAAATCAGTTCCAAGTAAACTGTGCTGCGGATATTATGTATCATAGCAACGAAACGTCTCAACGGAAAAAACGCGAAACGCTCTCAAGCGCCCAAACACAGCGTCTTCAGCAGAGCGTCTGCTGTTTTCAGCTGGCTAAAAACGCTTTGGTGGACAGTGGACACACGGCCTAACATTTAATTAGCAATGTATAATATTTATATTTAATTTAAAGGGATACTCCACCGTTTTTCATATTAAAGGGGGGGTTGACTGCTTTTTTTCTTTGCATGATTGTGTTTATGGGGTGCAATATAGCATGTATTCGTGGTTTTTCTTTTTTTAAAAAGTCTTATTTTTCATAAACTTCATCTTTATTGTCAGCCGCACTCTCCTCTGTCCTCGAACGAGCGGTTGACTTCCTGAGTCTATGAAACCACTCCCTCAGAAACACGTAGTGGGCTCAGATTGGTTAGTTTGGCCCGGTGTGTTGTGATTGGCTAAACTGTCGCTCACGTTGTCCGGAAGGTTAACGCCCATTACCTTTACGGGCGAAACGTTACGTGCACGTCATGAGCTCCGGTCCAGATGTAAATATGTGTCGAACTGCAGAAACGTTATCAGTTTGAGGCAGAATCAGACCGAAAAAGCAGGGATGACGAGAGTCAAACAGAACCTCACCACATAATTAGTAACGTTAGCCTACTGGCAAAAAAACAAGCGCTGGCATTTGAAAAAAATAAAACACAAGGCTACGTCTGGAATTAAACATGCAAATACATTTAAAATGATAAAGTCTTAGCCTACTTGCAGGTTGTGACCCAACAACTGCTGCCTCTGGTTTTAAAGTTGAAACTGCTTCACGTTTTAGTAGTTTCTTGTTAAATCCGGTGTTGAATTCGTGGAGATTCTGGAAGCCGTCTTCCGTAAAATGCGTAGCACAGAGAGCTAGATTACGATCGTTATTTTCAGGAACATAATCAAACATAAATTGTATTCGTTGTTGACGAAGTACAGCGTCCGTGGGAAGCCCGAAACACAGAAGACCTGACAGCTGCGTGAACACAACACACTCGACGAGCTGGAGCTGCTGAAATGTACGCATGCCCTTTTTAGCATTTTACGGAGGGAGTGGTTGATGCAAATGTGTGGGTTAGTGACGTGTAAAACCCAGCTGTAGTCCCAATCCAGTCGATATACTTCAATATACTTCCTGATTTTTAAAAGACGATATCTCTGCTTACACTGAACTTTCAGCGCTGCAACTTTGCAGATACTGTTCATGCACCAACAGCAACATAAAAACAACAACAAAAACTGTGGAGTATCCCTTTAAAATAAATATATTAAATACAAATTATTGTTTGAAATAAATGTATTAAAGGGATAGTTCACCCGAAAATGTAATTTATCCCACGATTTACTCACCCTCAAGTTATCCTAGGTGTATGACTTTCTTCTTTCAGACGAATACAATCATAGTTATATTATTAAACACCCTGATGCTTCCGAGCTTTATAATGGCAGTTAAGTCCATACTGTAAAAGTGTGTCTATATTAGAGGATGACACGGGAGTGGATTTTCACTCCTGTCCCGTCCCACTCCCATAGAAAGAAATCTTGTCCCGTCCCACTCCCAGACCAAAGTTTAAAAAATAATCCCATCCCATCCCGCTCCTGGTAAATTGACTCCCACTCCCATCCCACTCCTGTTTAAACTGACTCCCACTCCTGTACCGCTCCCATATATATTTTTTCTTCAATTAATGTTTAGTTAATACATAGAATTTGATTTAATCTGCAATTCTGCATCCTCTCCAATCCATCCTGTTTTAGACCAGCTGCTGAGCCCCAGTTTCTAGATTTTCTCCAGAAAATGGAAGACAGTAAATAAAAGAAAAACAGTACATCACACCATGTCTACAATTTAATAAACCCAAACAGCACATAAAGCTGCATTTTACTCATTTATTGTTGAGTAAACAATACATTTACAGTTTACATTTATAGTTTTTTTAAATTACATTTTAAACGATTTTCATCAATTATGCTCTTGCATAATGAGACAAATTTTAGTTATATGTTGCTGTGTAGGCTGCAACATGGCTTATTCTTTCCTGAATTTGCGTGCCTCTTCAGACCGCTCATCCCTGAATCACTTGCTACTTGACTAAAGGGGGGTCGCACACCGGACGAGAAGCTCAGCGCCGCGCAGAATCTTTAAAATTCGAACACATTCTGTGTCTGTCCCTCAATCACTGCTCTTTGAATTCCGGCGGTAAGCCGTGACAAAAAGCACTGATGGCTTCTGGAACGGCTGGGTCGTGTAGTTATTTTTTAATTTCGCTACATTTTAGGCGTATTAAAAGGAAACTACAAAATGGTGCATTTACTTTTTGCTTTTTTTTTTTGTCGTCTTTGCTATTGGTTGATTCCCGCTCCCGTCTGCTCCCGTTAACCATTTATCCTGTACCGTCCAAATCCCGTGATTAATAGCAAAGATGACTCCCATCCTGCGGGAATCCCACGGGAATCCCGGGACCCGTGGGATTCCCGAAAAAATGTCAGCCTCTAGTCTATATCCGTGATAGATGTGCTCCACACGGTTCCGGGAGGTTAATAAAGCCTTCTGAAGCGAAGCATTTGTGTAAGAAAAACACCCATATTTAAAACTTTCTAAAGTAAAATAACTAGCTTCCGGCCAAACGCACACACGGATTCCACTTAAGTCTAAGTGCAACTTATGCGACGTACTGCTGATATTTACGCTGCGTGGTACACTACTTCCAAGTTGCTCTTGAGGCGTAATAAACTGCGTATCGCCGTTTGGCCAGAAGCTGAAATTTTATTTTTTAACATTTTTAAATATGGGTATTTTTCTCACACAAACGCATCGCTTCAGAAGGCCCAAGTAACCTCCCGGAGCCGTGTGGAGCACGTCTGCACTTTGATGGACTTCAAAACAGAAACGGCAATTCACTGCCATTATAAAGCTTGGAAGAGCCAGGAAATGTTTTAATATAACTCCGATTGTATTCGTCTGAAAAAAATGCACCTAGGATGACTTGAGGGTGAGTAAATCATGGGTTAATTTTCATTTTTGGGTGAACTATCCTTTTAAATTGGAATGCATATATGAATAAATATGAATTAATTTATTATTAATAGAAATGCATTTGGCAGTTTCTCTCTTTTTCACTTTAAAAAAAAAGAAAAAGCTTTTTTTTTAAGCTGACTAAACCAAATGAAACCTAATTTTTGAGCATTACGTATGGATCTTTATCATTTTGATGTTGCTTATGGATATTAAGCTAGCTTTATCGCAATTCTTCATCAACAGTGCACAAATATTAACAATTTTTGTGACCAATACCAATGAACTTTTGCTATGATATATTTGTTGACACACCCCCAACTAGTTTGTTGATAAACTTTCATTATGGCACCGTCCATGTGCACTTATGATTCTTCCGACATTAAAGGTATCATTCAAAAGTCAAAAATTGGCCCGAGAAAAACAAAGCGGAAGACTAGCTAGAAAGAGGGTGTGTTGAGCTGCGACAGTAGATTGGATATACTTCTGAGAAGCCTTGAAGCTCTGATAGACTGAAGGCCAGAAGGGCGACTTGTTCAGGGAGCGCAATACAATGGATGTATTTTTATTGCACCCTGACTGGATTTTTGAGCATGACCTTGGCTTGCTATGGAATTGTTGTTATTATTATCTAGACTGACGTCAATCCCCAACCCCTCCTTCTCTTTCTGTCTCTCTCTCTCCTCCGCTCCCAGAGGGTGCGCCCAGCAGGGTGAGTATCAAACTTGTGTGCTTGTTTGTGTATATGTGTCTCCACCCCACTGGCTTTGATAAATGATTCCAAATACAGAGTCCTTTAAAGAAAAATACGGATTATGAAATCCGATCGACACACTCTAAACTAAGATGCTGTACTTCCTGCTCTCTGCCATTAGCACTAAGGAAAAGAGTTCATTCTGTACTTTTAATATAACAAACCATAATTCTGTCATTTTGTTGCATCACAGTTAGCCTTAAAGGAACAGTCCACCCCAAAATGAAACTTGCTTGCTGGTTCTCTTACCATCATGCCGTTCCAAACACTTGGAGCTGCGGAGGTTAACATTTTCAGTGAAAAATCATTTTAAAGCTTTGTAAAAATGTTTTCAGGAGACTTGGCATATAGTTCCAAGTACAAAAATCACAGGATTTAATATTTGGGTGTACTGTCCCTTTAAAAGTTTAAATTGTTCCCCCCAAAAATTACTGCAAGGTCATCATTTACTCACACTCATGGCATACAAAATCAATATGACTTGTATCAGCTGCAGAGGGCAAACTTTTCAGTGAATATAAGTTTGGCATCTGGTGACTTTTAATATAGCGTGTGAGTCATTTAAACTACTTTTATGGTATTTTATGGAAAATAGATGTTTAAGGTACTTCTAAATTGTTTTTTGTGTGTGTTCCAAGAAAATAAACAGCAAATTTGTTTGTAACGACATGACGTCGAGTAAATAGTGATAGTTTTAATTTTGGGGTGCACTGTCCCTTTAAACCCTTTAACTGACTTCTCAACCAATCAACAGCAGTTTTTGGTGAAATTTTGCAAGCTAAGCATATTTTCTTTACATATTACAGCCTTAACATTACAAAATGATGTTACTTGGTGCTATGAAAAAAAACTTCAGTATATTTTTAATAATATTTCAAAAACATGCTCAACCAAACTGTTGATTTGGCACATAACGGTTAACTGTCACCCCCCTTTTTAGGAATGGACATTACAATGCACTATTAAAACTTGGTTGTAATTCAAGTATGCTTTGGACTAAAGACCTAAGTTTAGTCTCGTTTTAAAGAAAACACTGCTGATTATTGCTGAAGTAAAAGCAATTCCAAAAATAAAAGTATGAAAAAGTTATGGAAGTTTTAAATTTACATTAAATCAAATTTACTGTACTAAATATGTTTTCTTTTTATAAATAAATAAATATTACTAAATATAAATATAACTAAATATTTTTTCTTTTTTTATATGTAAAATATATATATATATTTTACAAAATATTTTTTCCTATAAAATTACTATAAAATCAAAGCCATATATCTAACCGAGTTGTGTTCCAAATTTGAAGTTGATGTCACAAAAATTGAAGTTCTCATGAGATGAGAAAAATGATAGAATTTAAAAAAAATATTTTTTTTTCAAAAAATTGAATTTAATTGTATGCATTCTGCTGTTACAAATTAATACATTTCTGTCCAAATATCACTTCTGTTACAAAATATGGAACCTTGAGACTCAGACCTTTCTGACAATGTGTTTTGTCAAGACTAGAAAAGGTGTTGATCATAAATTATGATGGAAAAAGTATGGCAAAGTATGTGTATGAATTCCGATACAATTTATTATCATTAAAGTGACACCTCAAACATTTGGTTGAGGCCGATACTAAAAAAATTATGGGATGTGTTGAAAAAAAAATGTATTGAGTGTGGTTACTAGCAACATAAGACGATAAGAAATCCAAACAAAAAAAATTTCCATCACTTTTTTCTTGGTGCGGACTTCGAAGGGTTAAGAGTTTGATTTAAAATAAAAATGTCGAGAGCTCAGAGGAGAATGATTCATAACAGTCAAATTCTTTGAGATGATTTCTTCTTGCTGACTTTAAAGGAAGAAAATGAGGGAGTCAAGGAAAGGTCTAAGCGAGGGGGAGTGAAAAGAGAGAGAGATTTAGGAGAAAACAGGTTTGTTTGAGAGAACTGGGCTTCTTTGTGCTCTTTTTCTCATCTCAGTCCAATGCACTTCCTGTTTGGCTCATAAAACTGCACCGTTGCAGAAAACGCAGTTGTTTGAAGTCACTGATCTGAGACCAGTTTTGCTTCACTCCTCATAATGATAAAAGTTGAGAGACGGGACTGTTGACACTGGATGGTGATGATTAAATGTTTTGATATAATTCAACTGTCATCATTTAATCACATCTTTTCCATACAATGACCTTTCTTAGTGGCCAAATACCCAAATTTACCTATAAAATCCCTTCCACGGTAGTTCTCATAGTCAAATATGACGCGGGTTTGACATCATGACGTTTGGTTAAGAGACACTCGAGAAACAGTGACATTTGTGATTATTGACTTCCAACTCAAAGCGATCATCATTGTCAAATGGCATCAGAACAAAGAACTATTATGTGAACTTTGCACAAGTTTAGCATTTAGTTGAGAATGAGACCCGTGTGTGTGTGTGTTTAAGCTGTGTTTTCTGTGTCTATAGAGTAAATCAGTGTCGTCGACTGACAGTCAGGCAGCAGAGGATCGGCAGGGTCCGTCAGGGGTGTATCCCTCACAGGCCAGCAGCGATGCCAAACGCAGACGGTGTGATGACAAAGATGTCCTCCCGTCTCACTACGTATGTCACATGATGATGACATCATTCTTGTCTTTCCTTTATTTAACTAAATGTTACACCTATCTATCTATCTAATCTATCTATCTATCTATCTATCTATCTATCTATCTATCTATCTATCTATCTATCTATCTATCTATACATCTGTCTATCTGCTGTCTGTCTGTACTGTCTGTCTGTATACATTATATATATATATATGTATATATATATTATATATATATATATAATATATACACACACTTACATATATACATATACACACACACACACACATATAATATATATATTATTATATATATAATATATTGGATGGTGATTATATTTATAGATAGATAGATAGATAGATAGATAGATAGATAGATAGATAGATAGATAGATAGATAGATAGATAGATAGATAGATAGATAGATAGATAGATAGATCAGTGTAACATTTAGAGATATTATTTAAATATATTTTACTGATTTCTAGTTCTACTTTTCTAGTAAAATTAAATTTTATTCTTAAATGAAATTCAACTTCAAAATTGTTATATATACTTAATATATATAAATATATATATATATATATATATATAGCATATTATATATTGTATATTTTATATTATATATTATATTATATGCATATATACTGTATATATATATATATATATATATATATTATATATTAAATATAGAGATTATTTAATTAATTATAAATAATTTAAATGTAATATAATATTTATATTATGTAATATGAATATTTATAATTAATAAATATAATTTTAAAAAAATCATTAAAATAGAATTTTACAACTAAATTTTAATACAAAAAATACACAATTAAATAATATTACATTAACATTTTTAAAATATACAATTGATATAGGTCATTACACTCAGCAATTCATTTACCAAATGCATACATGTAGGATGTGACCAACCGGGCGGGTGTAATTAGGGGGATGATGTCACTATAGGGTGATGGTAATGGGAACATCGGGCCATGATCACATCAAAGCCCTGTTGCCATGGTAACTAAGTGCGTTGTCAATCCCTGGTTCCCAGAGATGGGCGAAAGAGAAGAGTGAGATGAGTGTGAGCTGTGTGAGAGCGATGGACAAGGTGGTGGGAGAGTCTCCCCTACTGTGATTGGTGAAATTAGACACAAATGGAGGGGCGCGGAAGGAGCAGAAAAAGGACACAGCAATATTGTACATGTACCTGACAAATATCCCATAGGGGTATATATTTGTGTGCCTGTGTGTGTGTGTCGTCTAACACCATCCTTCTCCTGCCTGTTTTCTTTTAGGACAGTGATGGTGACAAGAGCGAGGACAATCTTGTGGTAGATGTCTCAAATGAGGTCAGTTCACATGCACTGCTAAATTAACATCAGTGGAAATCTGTTCTGTCAATTGATTTAACATTTTAATTAAACTAATTAGATGATATGCTGAGTAATTAATAAAATGATTTGCATATACCAATATTTTTTTCCTCCAAAAAAGAAAAGGCATTATTGTGGTAAACAAGATTTAATGAAAATAATGTGTTAAATTGACAGCCTTAGTCCATATAATATATGTGTGTGTGTGTATGCATATTTTATCAGGAGCAAAAAGGTTGGAGGCCACACAAATAATTTTTAATTTTAATATTTTTTTTTTTTTTTGCTAGACGACTTCAGTCTGTACTGGATTCAGTGTGCGGCCAGAAACCTTTTTGCTCGTTTTCAAGTATTCCCTTGGCTCTGTGCACCTGAAGCAAAAGGATTTCTTGTCAATTTAGAGCGCAACAATGTTTTCTAGTTCACATGATTTTGTCTTTTTTTATCACCATAGAATGTTTATTTTGTTTTAAATTAGCATTTTTATTTTATTGATTTTATTTTTGTTTTGTTTGCTTTGTTGTTTTGTTTTTGTTGTTTTTTGTTTGCCGTTTTAATTTGGTTTGATTTTGTTTGGTTTTGTTAAACAAAAATCTAACCAAAACAAAAATCAAACATAACCAAATCAAAGCAACAAAACAACAAAATGAAAACAAAAAAATGAAATAAAAATAAAAATCACTAAAATTAAATGGTAATTTAAAACAAAATAAACATTTAACGGTGATAAAATACAAAAAAAATTGTTTTGTTTTCATTTGCGTTTTATTCAAAATTGACCCGATTTACTCCCTCTGCCTGTGAATATCCAACCAAGCCATTACTTGAGACTATAATATCATGAAGACTCCGACACAGCAACCACCCAAAAACACCCTATAGCATTATACTCTTTCACTAACTTTAATCTTAATGATGTTTATTTGTATTTTATTGTAGAGCATCACCAACAAATGCAATTCATCCTGAAAAACTCATTCTTTATTATTATTTCCATGCAATTATCATCCATTTCAAGGTAAAACATTTCAACTCTGTTTCTCAATTACTGGATAAATATTGGACATCACTCATATTTATTAAACTGCATTCAATAATTGCTGATAATATAACACAGGCGAATCAGGATTGTTTTCAGCTGCAGCGCTATGCTTTTATAATCATTATGTGACCCCGCTGCATAATTAACACGTTTAAAAAACATGATCCGAATTCCTGCAATATTCCACATCAAGGATTAAACTAGGACCTCTCAGCACTGTTTTTTCATTGACAGTTGAGTAAACACATTTGAGTGAACGGATGAGACGTTGATTTGTTGAAGTCCAGGTTAATTGAAGGCAAGCATCCCTGTTATTTTGAACAACCCTATTAACAAAGGGCTCAACATCTAGAACTTAAAAAGAAAATTCACATATCCAAACTAAAGCATAATGCCCTCAGGCTATTGACTCTCCTTAACTCCTTCGTTGTTTCCAGGAGGCGTCATCTCCCATAGGCAGTGGCCCTCTGTCTCCTCATGGGAATGGATTGGACCGTGCCCCAAACCTGAGGAAAGAGCTCCCAGGATCCCCAAGTCCCCCACCGGCCTCCCCACCACACAGCCCACCCCCTGGCAAAAACAAGGACACCTCACAAGTACGAACGCTTTTCTTAGACGTGTCAGATTATACGATTATATTATACGAATGATTTTTCATATAATAGATTCCATATCAGTGTTACTATGGGGTCGTTATGACAAATAATAGCATCTGTCTCTTGTTTCTAATGGCAGACAGAAAAATCTCAGTCGCCGTCCTCTAAATCAGGCAATTCCTCTCCCTCTCACCATGACCCTCTCACCCCGGGTCCGCCCGGGCCCAGCACTTCCTGTTTACGCCTGGTCAACAAAGCTGCGTCCTCGGCAGACCCTCTGGGTAAGACGTTGTCTTTTTGCGTTTATCGCAAACACAATTCAATGAAAAACCTTTGTTTAATTGTGTGTTCTGTAGCTCTACGGAGTCCCTTGACTATGACGCCTGGTTCTTACCCGGCTCACTTCGGGGTGGTGTCCCATGCCGGGCTTAACGGAGAGCTGGCCAGCCCAGGGGGGTTCGGAGGCTCACTCACCCTCTCGCCCCAAATCAGTGCCGCTGCCAGTGCCTACACACGCAGCCCTATGGTAACTGTGTTTCTGAAGCTCTTACAGTTGACTAAATTTTTACCGAAAAGCACTTTAACCTTGAATACTCTACTCTACAGGTAGCGTATGAATCACGCTCGCATCTTAGGCCCTCAGGGCTGTCCTCCTCGCTGCCTGGCTCCACCGGTGGCAAGCCGTGAGTTTCCTCTCTTTCTTTTACCTCCCTCTGCTTTGAGATGGAGTTGCACAGCGATGACCAGCGTATTAGTCCAAAATAGTGCTGCTTTTGTTTGCTGTGCTTGTAATAAAATCCCCTCTCGAGCCCCCCACTGTCAGCTACAGCGAGAAAAACACTTGAATTCAGGCAAACATCTGATGCAGGAAATTATTGCTGCACCCATTAAATGACACACATGCAAACTTCTCATTATTATGTTGTCAAACTTAAGTACTTACGGATTGATAAGCTCCTATTCTTATTTAAAAAGTCCACTCATAATGTTAGTTGCGCTTAATTGCACCAAAAACAGCCGTAGTTTAGTTTTTATGACCATTTTCCACCATCTGACTGACCTCTCAACTTGAACGTAGCATTTTTTTGTCCACACAGTGGAGATCAATGGGGTCCAAAGTTTGGACCTTATTGACTTTGGTTGTATGGACAAAAACTACTTTCAAAATATCATAATTTTTAAAGTTAACTACCACTTAATGTCCACTTATGTCCGCAGTGCTTACTCGTTCCACGTGAGCGCAGATGGTCAAATGCAGCCGGTACCCTTCCCTCCTGACGCCCTCCTCGGCCCTGGCATCCCGCGGCACGCCCGTCAGATCCACACCCTGAGTCATGGAGAGGTTGTGTGCGCGGTCACCATCAGCACCTCCACGCGTCACGTCTACACCGGCGGGAAAGGCTGCGTCAAAGTCTGGGACATCAGCCAACCGGGCAGCAAGAGCCCAATGGCCCAACTGGACTGTTTGGTGAGATCTGCGTCATGTGAAACTCTCCTACTAGTTGCTATTTGCCATCCAAGTTGGACTATAAAATGTCTACCTTCTCGTCCAATCAGAATCGAGACAACTACATCCGCTCATGCAAGCTCCTCCCAGATGGGCGGACCTTGATAGTTGGAGGTGAAGCCAGCACACTGTCCATCTGGGACTTGGCCACGCCGACTCCACGCATCAAGGCCGAATTGACGTCCTCGGCTCCGGCCTGCTACGCTCTGGCCATCAGTCCTGACAACAAGGTCTGCTTCTCCTGCTGCAGTGATGGAAACATCGTGGTCTGGGACCTGCACAACCAGACGCTCGTCAGGTATCTAAAGACTCCTGCTGGTGAGATAGACGTCGTTCTTCTTTCTGAGGTCATGTGATGTTCTTGTGTCGCCCTCCACAGGCAGTTCCAAGGCCACACAGACGGAGCCAGCTGTATAGATATTTCCAACGACGGGACCAAACTGTGGACGGGGGGTCTGGACAACACGGTGCGCTGCTGGGACCTGAGAGAGGGCCGACAGCTGCAGCAGCATGACTTCACCTCACAGGTATGGCAGCTCAGTGGGAACGTGAGAGGAATTGGAGTTTTGGGGATATGTTTTTTAAAGAACATGAAACCACTGACTCAGAACACACCAGCAACACCCTAGCTACCAGCTAGCAATGTTATAGCAACCATTTAAAACACCTTAGCAACCACATAGAAACAACCTAGCAATCCCTTAATGCCGTAGCAACCAGTTAGAAATGTCAACTTACAATGTTCCAGTTACCACCCTGCCTGAACACCCTAGCAACCCCAAAGTAATACCCTAAAATCCCCTGAAAATCACCTCAGAACATCCTATAAAACCACATAGCAACACCGTAGCAATGCCCTGGCAACCACTTAGAACATCTTTTAAAACCAGACAGCAACGCCATAGCAACCAGTTATCAATGTCAACTTACAATATCCCAGTAACCACCCTGAACAACCTAGTAACCACATAGCAACAACCCTAAACATACCCTGATAATCACCTGGAACATCCTATAAAACCACATAGCAACACCCTAGCAATGCCCTGACAACCACTTAGAACATCCTTTAAAACCAGATAGCAACACCATAGCAACCAGTTATCAATGTCAACTTTACAATAACACTTAGCAACCCCAAAGCAATACCCTAAAATCCCCAGAAAATCGCCTCAGAACATCCTATAAAACCACATAGCAACACCCTAGCAATGCCCTGGCAGCCACTTAGAACATCCTTTAAAACCAGATAGCAACGCCATAGCAACCAGTTATCAATGTCAACTTACAATAACCACTTAGCAACCCCAAAGCAATACCCTAAAATCCCCAGAAAATCGCCTCAGAACATCCTATAAAACCACATAGCAACACCCTAGCAATGCCCTGGCAACCACTTAGAACATCCTTTAAAACCAGATAGCAACACCATAGCAACCAGTTATCAATGTCAACTTACAATAACCACTTAGCAACCCCAAAGCAATACCCTAAAATCCCCAGAAAATCGCCTCAGAACATCCTATAAAACCACATAGCAACACCCTAGCAATGCCCTGGCAGCCACTTAGAACATCCTTTAAAACCAGATAGCAACGCCATAGCAACCAGTTATCAATGTCAACTTACAATAACCACCCTGAACAACCTAGTAACCACATAGCAACAACCCAAAACAGACCCTGACAATCACCTGGAACATCCTATAAAACCACATAGCAACACCCTAACAATGCCCTGGCAACCATTTAGAACATCCTTTAAAACCAGATAGCAACACCCTAGTGACCAGCTAACAATGTCAGTTAACATTGTCCAAGTAACCACCTAAAACACCCTAGAAATCATATAGCAACACCATAGCAACCAACTACCAGTGCCCTAGCAACCACCCAGAGTGATGAATGGCTTGAGCTATTGCATCATACGTAATTAGTCAGATCCGTAAATTCTGTGTCTTAATATTCCAGTTTTTAGAACTTCTTGCTGTCTATTTTCATCTCGTTTTTATTGAAGTGTTTTTATGTGCACGCAGATCTTTTCTCTGGGCTACTGTCCTACGGGCGAGTGGCTTGCAGTAGGGATGGAGAGCAGTAATGTGGAAGTGCTGCACGTCTCCAAACCAGACAAATACCAGCTGCACCTTCACGAAAGCTGCGTTCTCTCACTCAAGTTCGCCTACTGCGGTACTAGAGTCACTATAAACGTGTTTTCTAAATCATACGATCCTTGATTATTATGTAAAATAAATGCTATTTAATAATCTAAGATGGAGAGGACATGATTTGTTTCTCTTTCAGGGAAGTGGTTTGTAAGCACTGGAAAGGACAATCTGCTCAATGCATGGAGGACGCCATATGGAGCCAGTATTTTCCAGGTTTGTTCCAAACCCATGTGACTTTCTTTCTTCCTTGGAACGCAAGTGGAGATGTTTCGAATGTCCTAAACCTTTAAATGCTGCTATGCTATTAACAGAATGGAATAAGAGTGCAGCTGTGCGCAGACACTTGGTTTAGATTCAAAAATGATTTTACTCCTCTCTCGCTCTCTCTCTCTCTTTTATAGTCAAAGGAGTCCTCATCTGTCCTGAGCTGTGACGTGTCCCCAGACGACAAGTATATTGTCACTGGTTCTGGGGATAAGAAAGCCACGGTGTATGAGGTGGTGTACTGAACGCAGACAAAGACTGACACAATCATGGCCGCGTGGGAGGCAACCATGGCTCTTCTATACGCGGCCCTTTCACTCCATAACTTAAGAGATAGAGAAAGGCTTTGCTTGCAATGGCATACTAACATACTTCGCATACTGTGCACACTACTTTGTGCGATTTCCTTCGTTCAAAATTTCCTGTCAAAACACTATGGAGATACTGTATTCCATGGCGATGTGCTCAACTTGACCTTCCAGTTTAAAGTCGGCATGAAATGGAAATTCACCCTATTTTCTAACTAATCTTTTTGTGAACGATTCATCCATGCACGTTTTATATTTTTTGACCTTGTATTTTTGTTTTAAATGCAACAATGTAGCATACTACAAATATCTTACCAATTTTCTGTTCTCATTGCAATAAACAGTATATACTGAGAAGTATGTAGTATGCTAGTATTCCAGTTCGAACGTAGCATGTGAGAGCGGAGCCGTTAATTAGAACAGTCTCCAAGCTAAAAGAGGAAGCCCTACAGACAGCTGGTACTTAGGGAGCAGCTTCTTACAGCAACACCAAAAGCAGACAATCATTTCATTAGTTGCAAACTCCCTCCATAAGAGAGTACAACAGCCCCCCCCCCAACGAGAAAACGCTCACGTTGGAGCATTTCTGGATGAACACGAAATGGGCGTACAAACAATTCTCCACTCGCCTATCCAACCCAATTACACATTCATGTGGCAAATCCCAGTCGAATTCTCCAACCTGCATTTAATTTCCATCTTCCACAAGTCAGTGTCTAATGAGGAGCAAGAATGGTAAATACTCACAACCACGACCGTTATTTGTTTTAATTCCTGCGGATTATCATACAGATGTTGCGCTCATTTGTGGTTTAATGCTTATTTTCATGTCATTAATTATCTTTTAGGAAACCTTTTCATGATTGCTCTTCTTTAGTGAGATGAAGCAATAAGTCAGGACCTATAATGCAAATACCGAAAATTTGAAACTAGTATATGATATGTATACCATTAAAGATAAATCAATAAATTATAAAAATGTGACAGAAATATATAATTAATCAATAGCATGGAAGAGAATGCAATAGTATCTTTATGAAGATTCAATTATTTAAATTTGGGGGTTGCAAATATTGATATAGCAATCAATAAATAGGGATATCAAATGACATCCCTAAATGTAACCTCTTCTCAAGTTAGAGAGAAATATTTGAAAATCTGAGCGGTCCTAAAACAGAGCCGTGATGCACACTATTAATAAGAAGAGCTGTGGTTGCCAACCTGACCAGGAATGTTGAAGAAGAAACTACAGAACTCATCAACAACATGCACAAACATCCTGCTGGGAACAGATTTTGTTTAATTACACTTATTTTGTTCATTCTTCTTTTGATCTACAAAGCTTTTCTCAGCGCTTAGAAAACGGTTGGATGAGTCAAACTGTTTTTCTTGCGAACTGAAGGGATTGTATCATTAAATTCGTTCTCTTTTTTATGGCAATAGTAAGCAGTGATACTTCAGTGTTTTGATCAGTCTGTTTATTATCCAGAAAGTGCGAGTAGCTGAAAATATGGCTGCCTGCAAACAGTGGCATTTGTCCGTTTCGAGGTAGACCGTCTCTACTGCACGATCTGTCTTTGACATAATGCTATAGAAATATCTGTATCTATCTACCCTTATATAATGCATTATGTTTGTATACTGAACAATGTTCACCTTTAAGACTCTCTCGAAAGCCAAGGAACTTTTTTCGAAGGCGTTGCTGTGATATCCCTGTAGCACTTCCCATGTGATGTAAAAGACATGTATACATTGACAAATTAAACTTGTGGTCATCTTTTCAAGTTGTTGCATTCTTGAGAGTGGTTCAATATCAAATAATAATTAAAAAAAAAAAATTAAAGAAATTATCCAGACCAACTCATGTTTATGCTAATTTTATTATGTAAAATGATTTACAATAAATTGTAATGTATTAAAATTCATTAATTTATTTTAAAACATGAACACTAACTTGGTTACAATTAATGAATTGAATACATTTATATATGTACAATTTTTACAATAAAATTTTTTTTTTAAAGTATGAGTTTTGGGGTCTGCATATTTCTTAACCCATTCAGACCCTGTGTCCATTACAATGGACATCACATGTCAGCCCCCTTTTTTAACGTCTGGAGCATTTCACCTAGTTTAAAGCCTGCAATCCATGAGATTGGACGTTTGTCATCCAATCAAATGCCAGTAAAGCTCTGCATGTAGTAATTATATTAAAAAAAAAAACTCTACATTGAAGAGAAGCATGGCAGCACTCCAACCACAGAAGCAAGCAACATTTCCTAAGGTGTATTTACATTTTGTATATATTTTTGCCAGTATTTCATAGTTTGTAAGTAAAATAGAAAGATTATTAATTAAAGTTAAAAATTGACTGTAGAATTGCACGTTTTAAATCAGGATTTTTTTAAATGCGTCTGTCTATTAGAATGGACAGTAGGTTTGAAAGCCTGTTACTGAAACATTTTCAGTGATGCTGATTGAAATTTCTTTTATAAATATATATATATATATATATATATATATATCACAGTACCGATACATTTTTGAAACTTTTTCATGTGCAGAATATACAGTTCTGAAGTGCTTGAACATATAGCTGATGAAAATATCTCAGATGTTGATATCATGTCGAGTAATGAGGAAGATGGAGATGTAAGAAAAATATCCATATTTAAAACTTTATAAAGTAAAATAACTTCCGGCCAAAAGAACATATGGATTTGATTTAAATCTAAAGCGCAACTTAAATATGAATATTTTAAATATTTTATATTAATATATATTTTTTATTGATAGACGCACTTTTATGATGGATAGATGCACTTTTATCATGGATAGATGCACTTTTATGATGGATAGATGCACTTGTATCATGGATAGATGCCCTTGGGGTCGAAATTTTGAGTTTCTCTGAAATTCTTGAATCTCTGGATTCTGATAGAGGACCACGGGACTTAGACCTGAGTGCAAAAATGGAGGCTCTAGACCCTTCCAGAGCTGAGATATTGATATCCCACGTAGCATTTATGCCATTATAAATATCTCAATATCTCAGCTCTGGAAGGGGCTAGAGCCTCCATTTTTGCACTCAGGTATAAGTCTCATGGCCCTCTGTCAGAAACCAGAGTTTCAAGAAGATTGGGGATACTTAATTTTTCGCCCAAAAAAAAAAAACGTAAGGGGTAACACTGTCGTTTTTTTTTTTGGTCGAAATTTTGAGTTTCGATATCTCAGCTCTGGAAGGGTCTAGAGCCTCCATTTTTGTACTCGGGTCTAAGTCTCATTGCCCTCTGTCAGAATCCAGAGTTTCAATAAGATTGGGGATACTTAATTTTTCGCCCCCCCAAAAAAAACGTAAGGGGTAACACTGTCGTTTTTTTTTCTGGTCGAAATTTTGAGTTTCGATATCTCAGCTCTGGAAGGGTCTAGAGCCTCCATTTTTGCATTTAGGTCTAAGACTCATGACCCTCTATCATAATCCAGAGTTTCGAGAAAATTGGGGAAACTTAATTTTTCGCCCCAAAAAAAAAAACAAAAACGTAAGGGGTAACACTGTCGTTTTTTTTTCTGGTCGAAATTTTGAGTTTCGATATCTCAGCTCTGGAAGGGTCTAGAGTGTAGGCGGAGTTTGACATTCGAGCTAGGGGGGGCAAAAAAAAAAAAACAAAAAAACAACACATGCTAAATAAACACATATTTATTTTTATCTCAAGAAAAAACAGTAAAACAATACACTGATATTTTATTGCCTTTATTTCATTGTAAACAGCTAGAACTTCGCATTAACAGCCACTTCGCGTCGCATCTTCGTTATAGGATCATGAAATGTGGACACCTTTTGCACTGTTAAAATATTATCTTCAACCTTAAAGTTTTCTTTCCTTTTTTCAAAACAGATTCTGGCAATGATAATGATTAAAAAAATAGTAAAATTTTGCATTTATACTTCATGAATCATTAAAAAAGACACGGGATTAGGCTACCTATTGGTTTTGATGAGGGAAAAAAAAAAAAAAAAAAAAAAAACTTTACGAGTGCGGATTAGAACCTCGAACCTCCCGAGTCCTGGATCTGGACCATCACTGTATACACGAAAAAGGGAGTATATACTTTATATACTCAATATACACATGAAAAAAGTGCTATACTCTGACATTGTGCTCATTTTTATTTATGCAATAAAGGGCGTAAATACTTTATATACTCACTATACTCGGACATTGTGCTCATTTTTATTTATGTACATCAGGAGCTACAGAACATCGTCTTTCAAAACATGACCTACTCGAAAGAGAGAAAAAGAATGAATGCATACCCAGCGAGTACGTCTCTGTCCCCAGCACATTTCAAACTGACGCCCATGCTCCTTATCGCAGAAAAGCTTCTCTCAGAGTTAAATGACACAATCGACCGAGTGAGCGATAACTGTTTAAAGAGATTGGGGTTGGTAGTTTTTTTACAGCTTTTTTTTAAGAAAATGCGATTACCCGTTTCAGCCACCGGGGGGGCAACGCTCCCCCTGCCCCCCCGCAAACTCCGCGCCTGGTCTAGAGCCTCAATTTTTGCACTCAGGTCTAAGTCTCATGGCCCTCTATCATAATCCAGAGTTTCGAGAAAATTGGGGAAACTTAATTTTTCGCCCAAAAAAAAAAAAAACGTAAGGGGTAACACTGTCGGGTTTTTTTCTGGTCGAAATTTTGAGTTTCGATATCTCAGCTCTGGAAGGGTCTAGAGCCTCCATTTTTGCACTCAGGTCTAATTCTCGTGGCCCTCTGTCATAATCCAGAGTTTCAAGAAGATTGGGGATACTTAATTTTTTCGCCCAAAAAAAAAAACGTAAGGGGTAACACTGTCGTTTTTTTTTCTGGTCGAAATTTTGAGTTTAGATATCTCATCTCTGGAAGGGTCTAGAGCCTCCATTTTTGCACTCAGGTCTAATTCTCATGGCCCTCTGTCAAAATCCAGAGTTTCAAGAAGATTGGGGATACTTAATTTTTCGCAGAAAAAAAAAAACGTAAGGGGTACCACTGTCGTTTTTTTTTCTGGTCGAATTTTGAGTTTCGATATCTCAGCTCTGGAAGGGTCTAGAGCCTCCATTTTTGCACTCAGGTCTAAGTCTCATGGCCCTCTATCAGAATCCAGAGTTTGGGAAGATTGGAGAAACTTAATTTTTCGCCCAAAAAAAAAAAAAGGGGTACCACTGTCGTTTTTTTTTCGGGCCGAATTTTTGAGTTTCGATATCTCAGCTCTGGAAGGGGCTAGAGCCTCCATTTTTGCACTCAGGTCTAAGTCTCATGGCCCTCTATCAGAATCCAGAGTTTTGGAAGATTGGAGAAACTTAATTTTTCGCCCAAAAAAAAAACGTAAGGGGTACCACTGTCGTTTTTTTTTCGGGCCGAATTTTTGAGTTTCGATATCTCAGCTCTGGAAGGGCTAGAGCCTCCATTTTTGCACTCAGGTCTAAGTCTCATGGCCCTCTATCAGAATCCAGAGTTTTGGGAAGATTGGAGAAACTTAATTTTTCGCCCAAAAAAAAAACGTAAGGGGTACCACTGTCGTTTTTTTTTTCGGGCCGAATTTTTGAGTTTCGATATCTCAGCTCTGGAAGGGGCTAGAGCCTCCATTTTTGCACTCAGGTCTAAGTCTCATGGCCCTCTATCAGAATCCAGATTTGGGAAGATTGGAGAAACTTAATTTTTCGCCCAAAAAAAAAACGTAAGGGGTACCACTGTCGTTTTTTTTTCGGGCCGAATTTTTGAGTTTCGATATCTCAGCTCTGGAAGGGGCTAGAGCCTCCATTTTTGCACTCAGGTCTAAGTCTCATGGCCCTCTATCAGAATTTGGGAAGATTGGAGAAACTTAATTTTTCGCCCAAAAAAAAAACGTAAGGGGTACCACTGTCGTTTTTTTTCGGGCCGAATTTTTGAGTTTCGATATCTCAGCTCTGGAAGGGGCTAGAGCCTCCATTTTTGCACTCAGGTCTAAGTCTCATGGCCCTCTATCAGAATTTGGGAAGATTGGAGAAACTTAATTTTTCGCCCAAAAAAAAAACGTAAGGGGTACCACTGTCGTTTTTTTTTCGGGCCGAATTTTTGAGTTTCGATATCTCAGCTCTGGAAGGGGCTAGAGCCTCCATTTTTGCACTCAGGTCTAAGTCTCATGGCCCTCTATCAGAATTTGGGAAGATTGGAGAAACTTAATTTTTCGCCCAAAAAAAAAAACGTAAGGGGTACCACTGTCGTTTTTTTTTTCGGGCCGAATTTTTGAGTTTCGATATCTCAGCTCTGGAAGGGGCTAGAGCCTCCATTTTTGCACTCAGGTCTAAGTCTCATGGCCCTCTATCAGAATTTGGGAAGATTGGAGAAACTTAATTTTTCGCCCAAAAAAAAAAACGTAAGGGGTACCACTGTCGTTTTTTTTTCGGGCCGAATTTTTGAGTTTCGATATCTCAGCTCTGGAAGGGGCTAGAGCCTCCATTTTTGCACTCAGGTCTAAGTCTCATGGCCCTCTATCAGAATTTGGGAAGATTGGAGAAACTTAATTTTTCGCCCAAAAAAAAAAACGTAAGGGGTACCACTGTCGTTTTTTTTTTCGGGCCGAATTTTTGAGTTTCGATATCTCAGCTCTGGAAGGGGCTAGAGCCTCCATTTTTGCACTCAGGTCTAAGTCTCATGGCCCTCTATCAGAATTTGGGAAGATTGGAGAAACTTAATTTTTCGCCCCAAAAAAAAAACGTAAGGGGTACCACTGTCGTTTTTTTTTCGGGCCGAATTTTTGAGTTTCG